CAGTATAGTAATTGATGTTGATAATGACTGAGTCATCAAGAGAAGTTAAATTACAGCTATGTCACTGGGAGCTGGTCACTCAACTCATTTACAGAATATTTATTGGGCACGCAGTATGCCTTGACTCTGTCTTGACCCTGGGGGTAGAAAAATGGAGAAGGCATGATCTCTGCCCTCAAAGGGCTCTCTGGATTTCAGTTTCTCCAATGAAAAAGATGAGAGAGCCAAAGTAGATGATTCCTAAGAGCCCTTTCTAGAAGTTCTGAATGCTTTATGCATTAGGGTTTGAAACTCAACCGTCCTAGGAAATGACAATGCAGGCGATATAGCCCCATTTTGCAAGTGAGCAAACTGAGATGCAGAGGGGTTGGCATCTTCCTCAAGGCCACACATTTAACAAGGCACAGAGCCAGGACACTCTGGCACCGGGTCCACTCACGCAGAAATGGAAGGTCATCTTACTTCCACCCTTTTGCTCTTTCCACACTACCTCCCTCTTCCAAAAGGGCAATCAGTATAGATGGAGAAGAGCTCACGTGTTTGACAACTGCGTGGATTTACAGGTCTGGAACACAAAATTCTGCAACTACAAAACATTATTGTCATGTGCAATTGGACAGTAATAAATATCTGTAAGATGAAGTACAACCAAAGCTGTGTTGAAGGATCTGTCAAAATCAAGAGCAAGATTAAGTTTAAAAAGTCAATAGTGATGGCTACTAGGGACACATGCTGGATAACTAAAATATCTTTGAGAGAAGGGAAAAGCCAGCTTGGGACTACTATGTAAAACTCTCTCACTTTCTCTCTCTCTCTCTCTCTCTGACACACACACACACAGAGTTTCTGGCAGAGCAGAGCTGGTCCAGGCACAGAGGTGGAGCAGATGATGGACATACCTTGCTTTCTTCTCTGACAGTTGGAGCAAGACACTTGTCAACTCTACTGGTAATGCAGAGAGCTGTGATAAGAAACAGGTGCCACTTCCCAATAGTGCTATCAGCTGGGGACCGAGCCTTCTACACATGAGCTTTGGAGAGCCCTTAAGATCCGAGCTATAACCACCATGAGCAAACAGAACAGAAAAGAGTAACTGAGCAGGCTGCCTGCAACGGGCCGTGCCGTGGGGGTCTGACTTGAGGGATCCTTGGCAAGATGATTCAGAACAGGGCTCCCGCAGTTCTTCCATTAGTCCTCTGAGTCCTCTGGGAATAACACTCTAAGCAGTCATTGTCCCAGGAGCCCAGGGCATGGGGTGCTTTTTTTCATGGAAAGAGAAGGGAGGGAAGGTGAAGATGAGGAATTATCTTTGGGTTGAAGGAAACAGAAACCCAGTCATACTAACTTAAGCAAAAAAACAAACAAAGCAAATAACCCCCCAAAAGGGATATTTATTTTAAGGATTCAGGCATTTTGTAGAACCCAAGAGGGTTCTACTGTGAGCTCAGGAGGGACAGCTGGAGCCAGGCCCTGAACACCAGCCAAGATCAGCGGCTCTCTCCCTCCTGCCTGTTTCTGAACATCACCTCGCCCTGCAGTCTGGCTTTCACTGCCTCTCAGCGAAGGGCAAACACTTCCTCAGATCTAACATCTCAGATCTGTAATTCTTAATCCCCAGGAGACAGAGTCTGATTTGTTCCTCTTGGGCCACACAGGTATGGACAGGGAGCAAGGAGGACATGCTGGAGTGTTCTGAAGGGAGAGGTGTTGGACCAGAGGTATTGTCAGAAGCCCAGGTTTTGATGAGAAAGGTCTGGGGGCTCTTCTTTTTTATTTTCTCACCCTGTCCTTTCAATAATACACTGACTTCCACATTTCTAATTCTTCTGTGCAGTTATTAAGTCCATAGACCAAGATTTAATCTGTGAAGCTCTGCCTTGAGAGAGCAGAAGTTGAAGAGCAAGTGGAGAAGAACTTACCCTCCTTGGTGGCTGAGGCAGAGGAACCCGGAGGCTGCAGCGGCTGACAGGGCTGAGCTTGCAGGAAACCCTGCTCTCTGGCCAAAGAAAGCAGAAGACTTCCCTGGGTCACACTGCAAAGCTGTCAGAGAGAAGCTGACAGCAGGCCCTGAAGAGGCCTATCCTGAAGGTTAGGAGAATTGCCAACAGCCCAAGAGCTCTCAAAAAGAGCATGCTTTGACTTAAGCCAGGTGGACAGGAAGCAGTGCAAAAGGACATCCCCGGGAGCCTCAGGGAGAGGCGCCCATAGAAGAAGAGTAACTGAGAAGGGATCCAGAAAAACCTGAGGCTAGAGGAGGAAGAAAAGGAGGGAAAGGGTTTGGTTCCTGTTTTGCTCTGGTCCCATCCCAGAGGAAACAGTGACAGCTGAATCAACAACTCCATCCTTTATATCTCTGCCCTCTGCCTCCCCACCATCCAGGGCTCTGATGACACTGGCTACAGGCCTCTACTCAAAAAACCAGATGAACACTTGGATTTCTACTGCAGGCAGGAGCTAAGACCAGCATCGTGGAGGTGAGGACATTGAGAACAAAGGGGAGAGCTTAGCAGGTAGGGCAGGAAACCCTGACCCTGGGGGATGAGGGGACCCTCTCAACTGTGTCTTGTGATGGAAAAGCAACAGTTTGACCAACAAGCTGGGCGACTGTACCTCCACAGCCATGGCCATTCCTGGCTCCTGATGCTAGCCTCCCCCAGCCCCCCTCCTGGCTGCTGACTGTCCTAGGACGGGGCTGGAGACAGATGCAGAACTTGGACTTTTAACCTCTTCATCCTCTATTAGGGTCATTGCCTTCCGCAGTCTTTTGTTCAAACAAACCAGAGATTTCCTCCAAGTGACAGGCCAGGGAGGGTCTGAGAAGGGGTGATGAGGATGATGAAGCTGCTTTTTGACCATAGGAGTCAGCTACCCAGGCTGTTTCTTTGAGCTGCAGATAAATTAGTTGAATGAATTTGGACAGTTCACTGCATCTGCCCACATGGTTCCACTCACCTTCCAAAATGCCTCTGAGGGCTGGGGATATAGCTCAGTTGGTAGACTGCTTGCCTCACATGCACAAGGCCCTGGGTTCAATCCCCAGCACCACCAAAGAAAAATATATAGATATATACCCCCCCCCACACACACATATATACATAGCTTCCAAAAATAGCACTAGCTACAGAAGCCAAAAAGGAAACTTGAAAAGTAATAAACGACAAGGCCCCAGAGATGTCTGCCCTTTTAGAAAAGTCTGAGTGAACTTCTCCAAGGAAAGTTTAAGCTTAAAAAAAAAACAATTCCCAGAAACATTTTTTCCGTTTGTCATTGAGGAATCAGGCAAAGAAAGACACCACAGAGACAAGCACGCGCTTGTGTGAGCAGAAGGACCAGGTCTTCATGGGATTGGCATTAAAAATGTACTTTGTATACTTGTTCCTTGAATTGATGTCATCTACACACACAAAGTATTGGAGCTGTTTCCCTGTCAGGGTCACCAAAAAGCCTCCCGGATGTTTACTGCTATTTCAAGGAAACTACTGCTATTTCAAGGAAACTCCACAGACCCAGTCCCACCCTCTAGTAGCTCCCCATCAGACATGGCCAGTCACACTGGGAAGCCACCAGTAAGCCCTGCCCCTGCACACGTGCACACGCGAGCGCACGCGCGCGCACACACACACTCACACACACACACACACAGTCCCCCAAGCCACACGCACACACACGTACACAGTCACAGTACCACACTGCAGTCCCTTGTCGCCTGGACCCTGCTCTCCAGGCCTCCACTGAGAACTCCCTTCCTCCTCCACACCCCTTCCTGTGCGCCCTGTTCTGGAGCCAGATGTTCCGTGGGCAGACCCCTCTGTGGGCTGACAGGCGGTGATTACTGTTGCCAGCCCCACATTAGGAGAGAATTGAATGGGAGTGAGCCCCCACCGCCCAGGCTCCCTACAATAGAGCCTTTGTGAGGTGCCTCCCTGCCTTTCTTTCTCCTTCCTCACCAACCTACGTCAGGAGCAGCTCTGTCTGAGGAGAAAAGAAAAGAAGACAAAAGGAGGATCTCAGGCCCTGAAGGATCCACCCTGTCCTGGGCGGAGGGAGGGAGGACTGCACTTTGGAGAGAAGACTGTGTTCCTTCCCCCTCCAGCAAGGATAAATAACCCAGAGTGCTCCCAGGGCTACCTCAGGCAAATGAGGCTAGTGCCTTTTGTCCATCAGGCTCCTGCGTGCTAAACGTGGGGACAGTGGTGGGGGTGGGGGCCATCGGGCAGAGATCAGCAGAAGCCTGAAGCTCCCCCGCCCACATCCTGTCTTCCCCAGATTGCCATGTGCAATCCTGTGCCAGAGGCTGGGCACTAGCCTAGGAAGGGTTAAGCTCCCAGGACTCTAGGGCAGTCTGCAGTCAGGTCCCAGGACTGGGTTGCTAGGTGGAGTGATGCGGTGGAGAGAAGGGGATGTGTTGGGGAACTGGTGAGACCAACATCTGGGATAGCCACTGCCCCTCCTCCAGGCCCAAACCGCAGACGCTGTGGCAGCAGGAAAATCAGAGCGGTTCAGACCAAGGATTGTGCAACCCAGCCCCGGGGAAGAGCCCAGAGTTGGATGTGGGAGTTGGGGTTTAGGGAGAGGGACAGAATCCACTCCAGAGGTAAGACTTAGTCTTCAGTAAAAACACATGTACTCTGCATTCTGGTTTCCACACTGGACTACAAATAAGTAACATCATTTTCTGGTTCAGAATCCTCTATCAGAATTGGAAGGGCTGCCCTAGGTCCCAGTGTCTTGTGGCCAGAGGCACGGCGCCACTGGCAGTTCAGGGATGGCTGCTGTGGTGGCTGGTGGGTGTGGAGGCAGGCCTTTTGTCCAACCTCCTAAAGTGGCGGGATTCTGCTGCTTCCCAGGCGCCTCACAGTAAAATCTGTAACCAGAGAAGCCCTTACTCTTGCAGCTCAGGGAGCCCAGCCAAGTTCCTAATGTGAGAGATGGGCGGGAGGGATAAAATGATGGGCCATGTGGAGAACTTGGTATGAGGTCTACCCAAACACACACAGGAGAGGAGGAGTGGATTTTTCTTTTAATGCAAAATATTGCTATACAAAATGATGCGGAGAAATCCCCATTCTTCAGACACTGGAGAGATTTTTTTTATAAAGGAGACAGGGCAGACGTGCGTCTCTGTTTTCCATTCTTCTCCCCACTGGGTCATACTGAGGGCAAGAATACTGTAGCCTGATGCCTGGCATTTTCCCATGAGGGAGGATCAGAGGACCGGGTCTGGGTCCTTTGGGGCCTAATTTGTGGACAGGGGGAAGGAGAACAAGAGTGAATATTTAGGATTTTTACTCTTTTAGCTATAAAAAGATTACTCAAGATCTGGAGTTCCATATGAAACAAAGGAGCTGTGAGAATTTGGTTATTGTTGGTTAAAAAATAGGGGATCTGAGGCATAACTTGCCTATATTTGAAGAATGAAGAGCAGGAAATCTAGTAGGGATATAAATGTATGGGGATAAGAGATGCAGAAACGACCAGGCTAGCTGCTCAAATTTCCTCCTCTTTCTTCCTCATCTCCAGCTTGTAGACAATCTGGTAGCCATCATCCCAGGCATAGAGCTGGCGCTCACGGGGGTTATAGCGGAGGCTGGCGTGGGCACCATATCGACGGGGAAAGTAAGAGAGAGCAGCCTGTTCAGGGGTCAGTGTCCCACTGGCATCAAAGGAGCACTGGATGCGGGCCCGACTGGCAGGGCGCGTGTTATAGACGACGTACAGGGTCCCACAGATGACGAAGGCAGCCTCGGCATTCTCCCTGGGACATGGCGTGTCCCACTGCTGCTCTGTGTCCAGTGTCTGTGGATCTAATTTGGCCAGACACAAGTGCCTGTCATCCTCCCGGGTGGCATAGACTGCCCAGATGCCCTCCTCATCAGCTGCCAGGTCAATGTAGGTGTCTGTCGTCAGCGCATAGGGAGGAATCAACCTCTCTGCGGGGAACACTGAGCTGTCCACCACTGTTCTGTTTGCCAGGTGGAATTTGATGAGTTGCAAAGTGTTCTCCAACTCACTACCCCCTCCAGGTCCTCCAGGAGGCCTCCGGGCATAATAAAGAAAGCCACCATATACCAGCTGCCCCGTGCCTACCCAGGGGAAGGGCACACGAACTCTGGAGGCTTTCCGGGCAGCCATGGTAAGGGTGAAGTCACGTAGCCGTGGGAACACAAAGGCTGTGTCGTTCTGCGTTCCATCCAACACGTAGATCTTTTCTGTTGGCCCCAAAGGATCCTTGGTCCATAGACCTGCTGGGCCACCAAACCGCTTGAGGATCTTCATTGATCTCACCTGAGAAATTGTGTAGCCACAGTCTGGTAGAGAAGGAGAAAAGGAAACAGAGGCAGGAGTTAGATGCCTACAGTGAGGACTCCAGCTGGGTGGCCCATCTGGGGAACAGCTGGCATCCGCTCTGTGGATGCCTCCAGTCTTAGGGAAGATGGAGAAAGACAGGACTCCAGAGACCCAGGTCCCTAGAAACTCTTCTTAACAAACTTGTCACTACAGAGATTTTTCCCTCTAACAGATTCCAGAAGCCACAGTGGACTGGGACAAAGAGAAAAAAGTAAGAAAAAGTTTCAGAAGGTGTGAGGGACCCGCTTTGAGATCACCTACCTGTCACCATATCGTACTTCTCATTTCTTCTGCCTTTGCCTTTGGTTCCAGGGCCTCCATTCACCTTCTCATCAAGCTCTACACAGGGTAGAGCTGGGTTCTGGGTCTCCAGATAGTCCACCTCTCGTTCCAGACGGTCCACTCTCCCAGAGATGGTGTCAGCCTCGGTTCTGAGTGCCTCCCGCTCCTTCTCTGCCACCTCCAGCAGGGGCAGCATCTTGTTCTTGAAGTCCCGCAGCTCAGCAGCATGCCGACTACTTTGGTCCTGGCACTGGGCCAGCCGTTCCTGAAGGGGTGGGGGCATAGGGAGCGAGGGTGGGCTGAAGGGTTACCACTCCCAGGCAGGGAGAGGCCAAAGCAGGGAGTCAGGAATGGGAAAAGGAGCAAACTCAGCTAAACATGCCCTTCCACTCCCGCAGCAAAGGAAAGCAGATGTTCAGAGGTGCTCAACGTGCAAGGAGCATGGCTCAGATTCACCTAGGCCAGAGTCCTTCGACTTGTTCTCTCTGAGCAGTGCCATCTGGGCCTCTAGGGAGGTTTCAGTGCATGAGGGTGAGAAGGGCTCTCTGCTCCATTGTGCAATTCTCCTCTTGGGAATTAAGATGCTGTGAACTTCGATGTGTGTGGGGGGAAATGCTAGGGACTTGAAACGGTTTTTGAAAAGGAGGGTAGGAAGTTGGAGATTCTCTGGGAACCTCCAACTTCAAAAGAATCATCAGCTCTTCTTTAAATGCATTCCCTCAATCCTGGCCCTTATTTCCACTCTGTCCTTTTATCTCATCTAACCCCAGGGGTAAAACACAAAGGTCTATCTGCTCAGGAATTGCTCTACGTGGAGAAAGATCAAGGCTTGTAATTTTGAGGCTCATTTTTATTAAAAAGCAGAATTTTCTGTAGCTTCTCACAGAGCCCTGTCTTACCATTCCCAGAACCCTGATGAACTGGTTGAATCAATAGAAGATATTGCATCGTCCCAGGCTGGGCTAGAAGAAAAAGGGGTCCCTCACCTCTAAGGCTGCAAGTCGGCGTTCCATGTATTCCACAAGGTGGTGCTGCTGTCCTTGAAGGGGTCCGGACCATGACAAAAGGATCAGGACGAGGAGAGGAGCGCTGGGCCCCATGGCAGTCTAGAGAATGGGGCCAGAGTAGGAAGAGTGTGTTGTTGGCCTCTTCCCCTGAGCCCGTGGGTTAGCCATGGAGGCGGGGCGGGGGGTGGTGCCTTTGCTCTGTGATCTCGGGTCTCTCTCACTACTCTGGAATGCTTTCAGGCTCTCGCAACCCCCACCCCCTCCTTTCCGCCAGGACTGATCAAACACAGATGGCCCCCTTGCACAGCAGCCAGAAACCTCAACCACCTCCCGCCTCTCGGCTATAGGCTCCTCAGGAAAGGAAAGAGATGGAAATCTGAGGGTAGAGGCTTTCTGGGCAATGACAAAGGGAAAGGAGTGAGCTGCAGGAGGCGGAGACCCCAAAGAAAACTCATCAAGCTCCATTCCTGCTCCTGCGTTTCAGGAGAGCGCTTCCAGAGCTGATTTGTAAGAAACTGGCATCATTAATCCTCCTCTTCTCCAGCAATAATAGAGTGGGTTGTCTGCCTTGTTCAGTGGAAGGTGGAAGCAGAGGCGATGAGCTTTAAGGGGAGGCGGTGGGAAAAAAAGGTCTAAGTGGTCAAGTGGAACTTCTTCTATAGCTCGCTGGCGCCATCTTGTGCTGAGCACCTGGTGCTATGTGTCTCATGATTAATGGTGAAACCAAGACTTTACTCCATTTGGAAAATTTTCCACAAAGCATGCCAAGTGAATTCAATTTACAAGAATTTTCTTCATTAAAATGCAGGCTTCCCTACATACTACTCAGTTTCTTTAAGAGCTATGCCAGCCTCTCTTAACCCAAAGATGAAATAAAAGTAAAACACCAGGGGCTGGGGGTGTGGCTCAGGGGTAGAGTGCTGCCTAGCATGTGTGAGGCACTGGGTTTGATTCTCAGCACCACATAAAGATAAATAAATAAAGGTATTGCGTCCATCTACAATATCTTTATTTTTTTAAAAATCTGCTCTGTAGAAAATAATTCATATTCAGTGGCTTATGTTGTGCATTTCTTATTAAAAAAAAAAAGTAGAAACACCAAAAAACAAATCATTGAGAGGTTGGTTAATAACTTAATTATCTGGAAGTGAGAGTAATAGCAGAGCTATTATTCTACATGGCTCTCCAGGGATATTCTCTTATCAAAATTGCAGAGAGTTCAGCAAGTTCATACTATTTTACATTCACTGGTATGGGGGTGGGTCTGAAAAAACATTATGTTGTAGTCTAAACCAAAATAAAATAGATTTTTACCTTCCTATTACTGAAAGAGAATAGACTGCTGGTCATTTCTCTTGATTAGGGTTGAAAAGGGTATTCCTAACAGCTGCCCATTTCTGTATTCCAACAAAAGTTGCAGAAGCCTAAAATTGATGCATCTTATTTTATTCACTTTAGAATCAAGAGAAATCTAATCAAAGTGCTCTGTCTCTAACAGTACAGCTCCAAAAGAGGGAAAGCATCTTCCTGTGGTGACTCTATTTTCATTCTGCTACCTTAGATGTTTGGTGAAACAAAGTTAAATTAGCTTATCTCAGAGTCTTCTACATTTTTAAAAGGGTCAGGTTCAGTCATCTTATCCTGGACCTCCATTCATGGGAAGAATTCCTTACCAAAGGATATTTGTTTCCATTATGTAGATTTGCATGAAGAATGAAATTGTTCTATGCTCTACTAATGTTCAAGTGCCATGTGTTTTTAGCCACTCCGAAAGTGTCATTTGTTGTACGCTTTTGTCCCCTTATAACAGAAATAAAAACAGCCACATGAATCAGAAAATTTACCCATTTTATTGATGCATTGCAATTGCTCTACATTTTACCATATTATGTAGAAAATACTGAAAATACAAGCTACTTTGTAAAACCAAAGACAAACATTGAATCCAAAGATAAACTATGTTTTACACAATGGACCCTTTTCCCGGAGTTAGTATTAAATTTTAAATATCTATTTCTTTTGTTAAAATGATTATTTTACATACTCCCTAAGTACATCTGCATCACAAACAGCTCAGTAATTCTCAGAGACTATCTGTTTCTAGAGGCTTGTTGTAAAAGGAAGTGCACAACCAGAAAAGGGAGAAAGCAAAAAAAAGTTTAAAATCGCGCACAATAACTAGCATATCAAATACATTTAATAAAGTAGGAATTCCACTGCAATATCAAGGATTCAAAGCAGAAATACTAACATCACATATAATGTACATATAATGTACTGCTACATGTAGTGAGATTATTTTTCAAGCTGAATTGAAACCACACATTATATAAAGTTTAGCAACAAACAACCATGTAGACATGCTGCACCATCCATCAGTTTAAAAGAAAAATCAAAATAGGAAGCAGGCTCGGGCCATTCCTTTCACTGAGAGGCAACTTCATTTCCTATTCTAAAACAAACCATCTCAACTAGTGGATTTCTGCATAACAATGCTGAATAAAACACACAAGACTGTGCTTGCCTGGTTAAGGGCAGTCGAGCTTAGCCCCTCTAGTGGAGGAGGATGGATGAGCAATCACAAAAGCAGGCTGAGAATGGCCAGAACTGTTTGAAAATGAAGTTCTGATTTGTGGGGTTGGCATTTCAGCTGAACACTGACAGTGGCATCACCTCCTGAGAGCTATTTAAAACTCCAGAGCGATCAAGTGTCCCGATGAGCCTCCCTGGCTCTACCTAACCCTTCCCCACACTTCCTCTCTCACCAGGAAGGGGAGAAGCTGGAAGTGCAAGTTCTGAGAGGACTTAAGGACTTAAAGCCTTAAGCTGGTTTGAGGTCAGGCCATGGTGACCCAGGCCAGCTGCTTACTACATTCACAACGCTTCCCCCATGCTGTCAGGGCCAGCCATATTAAGCCCCAGGGACAGAATGTAAAGCCACATGGAGCACATACACATTCAGCAGACACAGGTGGATTTTGATCTTGGCAAATCTGAAAGGTCAGTTGCAGACTAAGACTGAAAATCTCTAAGGTTTTTAAAGCCACACAACTGCTAGTCAGGTGACCACAATAAACTCTTGGGTGTTATCTTTTCCCATGGAGTTAAGACTCCTATCTTAATGGCATCTACTCATTAGACTTGGAGACAGGAGTGTGGGGTTTGTTTCCCCCCCTTCATCTCATCACAAAAACAACCAATCTTGTCCCTTGTTCAGGAAAGATAAGGAATAAAATGTGTTTCCATTAGAAACCAGACCTGCATTTTAAAGAACATCAGAATGTGCTTGGCAAAAGGGAGACACAAAAGGTGACACACACTGACCAGAAAACTGTATAACACTAGTGACAAACTACACAAACTGCTTGGTTGTCTTGACCAATATAGTGAACATACAACTCAATACAATGATAAAAAAAAAAAAAAAAAGTACGGAAAACACAACATGTTCCTGGGTAGGCTGTACTGACTACCTGCCCCATCTTAGAAGCCCTTACTCCCTATGAGGAAGAAACTCCAAATACTTTGACAGCTCCTCGATGTTCAACCTGGTTCAGAGTTGGCTGACCAGGCTCCATGAAATCTCCCATCTCCATCCTGCACCTCCTTGACACCATCTCTCTAAATAAAACCAGTCCTAGAATTATCCCTCAAATATCATTTTCAATTCAGATGGAACACATCTGTATCTTAGGGTTAACCTTCTTCCCCCAAATCCTTTATGGGCAGGAAAGTCCCCGTCCCCAGTACCTTCTCTATTTGACCCAGATCCGAGGAGGAGCTGAGAGTACTAGGACAATTTCACAGCTTGAAGGGCCCCAAGAATATAAAAGTTGTTAAAAAGAAACCTCAGAAGTCTCAATGACTCAACAGGCTTTGATGCTTTCTTAATATTCTTCACCGGCTAAGAAACCTTTCTGTTGAGTTTCTTGTCACCAGCACAGCATGACAAAAACTCCTCCTCATAGTATGGGGACATGGTAGGCAATACAACAGGCTCTTTGGTATAAACACATCTGTTACATGTTTTTTTCAACAAGCAAATATTTTACTAGCAATGTCAACTATCTGCAGGAAGGACTGCCACATGGGAAAAGGAAAAAAAAAATCTTTTTCTAAAAGTGATTGCACATATTTTTAAAAAGAAAAAAGAGAAGAAATGCATATTAATATTGGCTTGACTTCCTTGCGCCTGCTTCCTGAATTCTCACAGAAACAAGGTAGCAATGCACAGTGAGAGAGCCACGTGGGGAAAATGCTTCTGTGAGAACTCAGCTAAGAATCCAAAATGTAAAGGGATAGGGGTGGTGGTAAAGAAGAAAAGCTGCTGTTTTTATTTTTCAATGTTGGCAGGGAAACTGAGAACAATGCATTTACACAACACAGCTACTAATTCTGTTCTGATAAATCCCAGTGAACAGCTTAGGGTCCACGGGGGCTTGCTGGTCCATCCTAAGGCAAGCTCACTGTAAACTCTATTAACCACTACTTTATCATATAAGGCACTACAATAAGGGAAGGGAGGAGAAAGGGAAGGAAGAGACACACACTGAACAACTCCTCACCAGACACACCTGTGCAAAACAATTCCAAGGGTCTCCTCTCCTTGCAGGCAATGCCCCTGCTCATTCAGCACTACAGTAATATGCTCTAATATAATTGCAATTAGTTCACATACATTCCAACAAGTATCAGTTCATTTTGGTTTAAATACAATGGAGACATTAATTCCATCTCCGGGGTAACACTGGAGGATCAGATACACACTAAATACACAATTCAAGTGTAATCACTACACATTTGATTACAAATAACATTTTGGGTTAGCAGGAAAAATTGCTTGTTATATTTTTCTAATCAATATGTACATATTTAATTATGCAAAATATTAAAACACCACCATTACAAAACTTCTAAAATATTTTTAAATTCAGTAATAAACTTTTAAAATATTTTTTTGCAATTCCTACATGCACTTATTATATAAGTCTTAATAAGAGAGCATTCAATTTGCTGCTGGCATACAAAGGAAGCTACTTTAAAGTATAAAAGCTATACACAACAACGTTCTCATCTGGTTTCAGATCCTTTAGCTTCTCCCCAAATAAATCACATAAAACATAAGGGAGAGATGAGGAAAACACAGAGGCGTATTATTGAAAATTCATAGTGATCTTTAGGCCAAGTTCATCAACACCAACAACCTGTAGGCACAGCTCACCATACCAGTATCTCATAAGAGAAAGAGATTTTGCATATAGTAAGACAACTACCATACAATAATCACCACCTTCATGGCTTTTCTAGTAATAAAATGCAAGTTGGATCATAGAGGAATTTTTTAAAATTTTTAGAAAAAAAATTCATGGTGTTTCATTTAAAAGCATAGAATACTTGGTACTTTCAAGGTGGGCACTGATTCTCTCACACTGAGTTACCAGCAGGTGGTGAGCTACTTTTTAACATCACTTTGTAATAAACGCAGAAGCAACTAAGAGAACTGCAAAACACATAACTGGTTTTGCAAAAATTAAAAAGTTGTCCTTTAAGTATAATTTGACATAAAAACAAAATAAAACACTGCAAATTTAAATGTCCCATAAACAAAGGTAAACTTTTTTTGAGGAGAAATGCCTGACAGTAAAATGTGGACTTGCATAAGCTGCTCTGAATATAAAACAGGCAATTAAGTTTTGGTTTTTAAACAAAAAATAATAATTCTTCTTCTCTCATTTGTTACCATATTTCAAATCCCTCTATCTGTATTTTCCTTCTGACCAGTAATGGCAATAAAACAAAGTTAAATAAAGAGGGGCTTCACTTATTTTCAAATGTGTTTATAGAAATCAAGTCAGAGAGACAAAAATTTTTCAAAGGGAAACTTCAGAATGATCTCTCTTCCTTGGTAACTGCAGAGGATGGGTTTCTGAACTCTTCCAAATACCAAAAATGCTGTCATAAAAATAAAGAATTAAAAATAGGGCAAACTGGGAGACTACAACAATGCAGTCAACACTGAGACAGGTTCCCCAGAGAAAAGCCTTCTGCTTCAGTGGGCCCCTGCAGAACAAGTTGCTGGCTAAGGAGTTTCAAGACAGGGTAAAAGGAGGTGCTTACCACAGCCCATTATTTAGAACTCAGGGCCAGGAGCAGGCAGCCATGAACCCTCCTCCCTCATGCTCACCAACTACAAATAAGAATACTGGCTGATCTTGGTAGGACTCAGCGGGTATCCAGTGTAAATTGTTGAGCCTCGGGAAGACCCAATGTAGGACTGGGTGGCAAATTGGTGTTGGTACTGAGCAGGGGCCACACTGGCAGAAGTGAGGAGGCTAGGCCCAACACTGACAGGGACCTGGTGCACCAATGTGCTAGGGTGGGTGGTGTAGGCTGCAGCATGCCTTGAGGAGCCCTGCGGGGAGAAAAGATGAGCAATGGAGCTGGTGGAGCCCAATGCAGCAGCAGAGGTGGGGGCAGCATACGTATACAGGTGAGGCTGGCTTGGCAGGTGAGCAGGGGCCGGGGCCAGGTGTGGGTGCCCCGTCGAGTGCAGTGGGCTGCCATGCTGGAAGGCGTAGGGGGCTTGGGAGAGCGGGGCCACAAATGCCTGCTGCCTGCGGGGAGCAGGGTTGCTGCTTCTCTCCTGCGAGGTTGGAGCTGACGATGACTGCTGGTTCTGGAAGGAGGAAGAAGGGAATAAGGAATCTTGAGGTAACTCTGGTTTAGGGCACTACAGGCCAAGGGAAGAATGGAGGTTCTGAAGTGCACTGTTTCTGGACTGCCACAGCACAGAATCTCCCAAACTGGCAATGAATGCTGTCAGAAGTCACCACCCATCCCTCTACCTCTAGGCAGAACTGATCCTAACCCAGCTCAGACAGCAGCAATTTGTTCTTAAGTGTGACAGAGGAAGGGGGAGAATCAAGAGTACAAGGTTCACAGGGTTGCCCATTCCTGCAAGTTAGTGACTATTAATTCACCCCCATCCTGGCGTCAGTGATTTTGACTTTCCCTAACCTTTTTTATTGCTATTGCTTTCTTTTGTTCTAAGTTCTTCATGTCCCTCTTGAAACGTGGAGCCTAAAACACATGCAACTAATTTAAACTTACATTTGCATGTGCATGTGGTCTCTTTCTCACACAGTTATACCCTATTGACACCTTCTCATTATTGGTAGGTATCACATGAGCACCAGAATTCTGGCTGAGAAAAGAGTGAACATAAACGAAAATAAAGTAACCTCACTACTCTATCAGATAATGAGAGGGCAGGGGCAAATCCAACACTTGAGCCTCGAGCAACAGGGAGAATTAGAACCAGATGATTAAATGAAGGGGTGGGTGGAAGACACACACAAAAAACTTTCCCTGTCTCTTGACTCAAGTAAACAGTGTGAGGCTCAGGTTATTTATGGCATGGGAGGGAGATAAGAGAAGAGTCTGGTCTCAAAGCATGTGGTGATGCAGGACCAGGCATGGCTATAGTATCCTAGGCTCTATCTAAATTCCAGACATTTCTCTAATGTTCCAGGCTAGAGAAGGAAGTCTCCAGGAAAACCTGGAATGCACATCCCAAACACATTCACAGAACAAATGTAGACACAGCACATGCAGATACGACGCAGGCCACAGAACACCAAATCAGTGACACAAAAGGAGCTTCATTTGGCTTTATTCAGCAGTCCAGCCAGAAGCAGGGTTCTTCAGAGAGTAACAAGAGGAGGGCACCCAAACAGAAAGCTGCAACCCCTAGCACTTACCTGGCTCAGGTTGAGTGGCTGTGCTGCGCTGGTCCCCCCGCGTTGCGCTCGATAGCCTGTAGGGGTGATACAGCATCCAGATGACTGCCCACTCACTGAGGCCACTGGCTTGGTCTTACTGCTTAGGAGACCTAAAAAGGAGTCAGGGCTTAGTATCACTGAGCTAACATTAGTAGTCCACATTTGCACACAGTTTATGAGAGTTAAGGTCTCAAGTGTATCTTACTTCTTTAATTACATCTATACTGGAAGAGAAAGTTTATTATCTATTTCTTTTCTGTATTTCTAAACTTCACAAAGGATCCTCAAAAGGTTACTTGAATAAATATTATCTAATCACCTATTATATACAAGACACCACTGGAAATACAAACATAAGGATACCGTCCCTACCTCCAGGGAGCATACAGTTTTATGTAGGATAGGATTAAGTAAGTAACAAGATGACAATGTGAAGCTGATACATTGGTAATTTTTAGGATATTTAAATGTCAAAAGGCAAGATCCTATCCTATTGGGTACTTGCAGTCTTCACATTTCATTTGAATGCATTTTTTTTTTCCTTTCTATGTTTCCCAGTAGGCAAACTGAAGCACTGAATTCTCATTTACTTCTGAGAGTCTATATTCTTTGGGCCTAAAAGGGGGCAGAGGTCCTAGTAGAATATTCAGTAGCCTGGTATCAGGAAGTTCTACCTTATATTCTTTTTAAAAAAATATTTTTATTAGTTATTGATGGACCTTTATTTATTTATTTGTTTTATATGTGGTGCTGAGAATCGAACCCAGTGCCTCATACATGCTAGGCAAGTGCTCTACCACTGATCTAAAACCCCAGCCCTCTTCCTTCAATGGGGGCAGTCTGAAGAGAACTGAGGCTTGAAATAATATCCTCAAATTAGAATCCTGTTTGAGTATGGCAGTAACTTAATCCTAATAAAACACCATTTATACAAGTATAATACAGATGGCTATGCTGGTAACCAAAAATTAATCCTCCCCTTCACTGGCATAGAGTTGCCACTGAGAAGCTGCTGCCTAGACAGACTATACTTATTAGGCCTCCCTGCATGTATCAGGGGCCCTAGTAGTGGTGTTCACTACACTTCCAGGCTAAAGAGGTTAAGAAAGGAGGCTTGCCTCCTCTAAACTTCGTTTCTCCTTTTGATTGATGCTGAGGGTTGCAGGGTTCTGTGGTCCTTAACTTACTATAGGCCAATCAGAAACACTTGCACTGGGAAGTGACATGAGTAAAAAAGTATACTATCATGTTAAACCACGGAATTTTGGGATTTGTTACTGCAGCTCAGCTAACACAATAACTGAATCAGAGAGCCTAAGTTCCAGTATCTAACAGAGCAAAAAAGAGAAGAGATTAGGCTAATAATAAAACCAACAAAAGCATCACTACTGTGACATTAGGTCAGAACAAAAATCTAAAGGACATATGTTTTCCAAAACACTTTTGTGGTCATAGTCAATATTATCAAGTCTTGTCCTCTTCTAGATTGCCATATTCAAACTATCTGTGACAAATCTAATTGCCTGCTCATTCTTCCTGCCATACGATATAAGTCTTGTCTACTTCCTACCATCAGTGGTGAATGTGTTTAAGAAACTAAAATGACACCAAATACAATCTCATTTTTATATTATTCCAAGTAAAACAAATCCTGGAAGATAACTGATGGCAAAAATTAATTTCAAATCATAGAGAACTGATTTCTGAATTAAGTACTTTTTAAGAATATCTATTCCACTGGTCTGGACCATGGCATAAGTATATTATAACAAAATTCTAAGCATACACTGATTAGAGAAGAATTCATTTCTAGCTGTGAAGATACCACCTACCTGAGGCCTGTGTTGCTACAGTGCAGTCACCAAGCTGAGTTTTCATTGGAGGTACAATGATGGTACGGGTGCCAGTGCCATCTGCCACAACTCTACCAGGCCCCTCCAGCAGCGGCCCACTATTGCCCCGAAGAGCACTCAGGGTATCAGTGGAATATGGGCTGCTCAAGGAGGAGTCAGAGTCTGGAGAATCATTGACAGTGACATAACTGATGACATTAGACCTCGGCTTCAGGCCAGAGCTGAGGAAAAGAAAATATGTGAAAATTCAACTGCCCTTTTAAGCAATATGCCTTACATGGTCTCTCATTCTTTCATGAGAACAATTATAATAGTAATGATAACAGCAATAGCAAACTTCTAAGTGCTTACTATCATGCACTATTTCTTATGTTCTATGTGCATCTCGCTGAGTCCTTACAATAATCCTATAAAGTAGTTACTATTATCCCCATCTTTTTTAAAAAATTTTTTTAGTTGTAGTTGGACACAATACCTTTAGTTTTCATTTGTTTTTATGTGGTGCTGAAGATTGAACCCAAGCCCTGTATGTTCTAGGCAAGCACACTACCGCTGAGCCATAGCCACAGCCAATATTATCCCCATCTTTCAGATGAAGAAACTAAGGCAGAGGGAGATTAAGGAACTCATTCAAGGTCACATAAAGAACATATGACATTTCATCTCATAATGGTTGGAGATTTTATGCAAATTTTTTTGCAAAACAGTGGGGTACAACCATTATTTGAAGCTTCCTTTTTAAAAAAATGCACTGGTATTACTTAAAAATCATTCTCTTTGGTGCAAGTTTAGGATTCATGGAATACTCATAAATATATGCTAATGTGGTGGCGAAAATTATGCAGTAAAATAATAAAATATGGTAAATGGTAAAGACAGAAACTCAGACTCAAGGCAAAAATGACTCCAGAGTTCACACCTACTCCATGTTGCCTCTTAGTCATTCTCATGCACAGTTATTTCAACAATATTCTTCAAACACCACTTTTTTTCCTAACACCTCTACAGACTATAAATGGTTCCTTACTATCCTAGTCAAACTTCTCACTATACTTTTTTTTTTTAAAAAGATTCCTTTGCTGATTCCTCCCTTACTGTTACAGATTAGATCTGGAATATTCCCCTCAAAGACTCATGTATTGAAGACTTGGTCTCCAATGCAGCAGTGTTCAGGTGGGGCTTTTGGGAAATGATTGGAAGGTGGTAGAAACTTTGGAGGTGGACCTAGTTAGAGGAAGTGGATCACTGGGGGGATACTTTGTTGAATCTCTCTCTTGTTCTGCTTTGCTCCACCATACCCTTCTACCACGATGTATTATACTGCCTCACTACAGGACCAGAAATAATGAAGCCAGCTGACAATGAACCAAAACCTCTGACACTTTAAGCCAAAATAAATCTTCCCTACTTTTGTTTTTCTTGAGTATTTTCTCACAGTGATAAAAAGATAACTAACTTTAACTTTACCTTATTTTTTAATAAAACTGGGTCCAGTCAAAGCAATCAGGCTGATTATAACTCATACATAACTTTTGCTATTAGTACACCACTTTCCCTCACTGGAAAGTCTACTTTTTCTCTTCCCCGAATCAATTCAATGACACCTTTCAAATCCCTATCTTACAATAGCCCTTTTGAACTAAGAGACTCTAAATTCTTTCTAAATTTACTCTTTCAAATTAATTTAAATTTTACGTTTGTATGACTCTGTAAAGTCTCTGAAGTTTCTTTCCTGTGTGAATCCTAATTTCTCAGGTGAAAGCAGGATTATTCCCTCTTCTATATGCCTAACACCAAAAGCTCAATGAAGAATATAATACAGAAGAATCAAGGCAATCAACTATGCTCACACTGAGAGAGAGGTATGTATCATAGTTCTTAAACTTACCTACTTCCTTTCAGTAAACTGCCTAGTTAAGAACTTGAACTAAGGTGCTAGGATAGGAGGGAATATCCTGGTATTTAAATTCTTCAGCTTTCAGACCACATAGCAGGGGGCAAAAGAAAGGCAAGCCCTACCAACACTGTACCTCTTAAAAAGAGGTCTGTTCAGATTAGGAAATTGAACAAATTTCAAGTATCTCTTATCTACCTACTCATTCTAATTAACTGTTCATATATTCAGAAGTATGGTATCTATTTTCAGATTATAAACCTCCCTGAGGATAACAGTCCTGTCAGTGATATAATGTTCATTCCAAGCTAGAGTAGTCAAACTTCTTGATATAAATCTGTTCTCTTATATATCAGGAAGACTGATTTAACAGACAAGTATGTCTAACATTAGGGAAAACTTAACAATGCTCAGTTACGTGAACTTAAGTGTTTTGGCTGACTCATCCAAGGTCACACTTCCAAAGCACCTTCTTTTGTCCTTTTTTTTCATAGTCAAAACTGCATGCCATGCCTGAAGCCAACAGTCTAAGTCCAACAGAGCAAGGGAACCATTCATCTGTCTTACCTATTGGGCTTATATTTGTTGTCTTCTTCCTCATCAGTGTCACTACGGATAGTGATGACACTCACAGGAGGGCTGGGAGTATCTGGAATGATGATCGGCTGATGCTGATCTTGGACAGGGACTAGGGAATTATAAGATGTGGTACGGAGAGGACTGCTCCCAACCAAAGAATAAACTTGGGAAGGAAGAACATCCAGAGAGGATCTGCAGGGGAAATTCACAAGGAAAAACTGATCAATTCTTTTTTTTTTTTTAATTTGGAGATGGACACACAGTATCTTTATTTGTATGTGGTGCTTAGGATCAAACCCAGTGCCTTACACATACCAGGCAATTGCGCTACCGCTGAGCTACAACCCCAGCCCTCAATTCTTGGTCCCCCTAATTGCACATCTTCTCCTGAGACTGCTTTCCAGATTACTTTTTGATTCCTTTTTACCTAACCATTAGGCTAACACACTTAACTATGTAAATTTTGTTTTACTTTGTTTTATAGTACTGGGGATTCAACCTAGGGGCAGTCTATCACTGAGTTACATCCCCACTGAGTTAAATCCCTCTTTATTTTTTATTCCCAAGCTGGATGTGAATTTATAATCCTCCTATCTCAGTCTCCTGAGTAGTTGGGATTACAGGTGTGCCCTATAACACCTGGCTTTAACTATGAAAGTTTTGGTGAAAAATTTACTACTCTGCCTAGAGTTTCCAGGGACAAGAATAGCAAAATACAAAAGAAATTTATTTTTGTGTGTGCCCTTTACCCTAGAGTTAAATTTCACTCTACAAAGTGGGCAAGAAAAATTAAAGTATCATAAAAGTGGCCTAGATTTAAAGATGCAGAAGAGAGAAAGGATGACCATAACCAGGCACACACCTGGTGTGCATGTCTAGATGAAAATGTCAGCTCTTGCTCAATTTGGCAGGTACTGCTGCTCAGACCACAAGTATGTATACAACATTCCTACACTGGGCAATATGTCTCAAACTGGCATAGTTTTAACCATCAGCTCTAATGAAGACTTACTTAGAAGAGACTGAAGTAGACTGCTTATTCTTCTTTGAAGGGAGGGAACTGGATTGTTGTCTTACAACATGAGCAACACCAACATTCAGGGGCTGAGCAGTGGCCAATGTCACATGGTTAGTCAGCAAGGATGGCTGCTGCATGATAGTGCTGTACTGGTTACCATGAGAGTGGGCATTCCTAGACCAACAGAAAGAAACAGAAGACTGAATCCCAAAACCACTGAAAAATCAGGACCAAACAGTTATTAAATGTGCTTAAGACAACTAAATACAACTGCATTTTAAAGTCAGGGTACCTGGATTATAAAACTTGAGGATTTTAATATATCATTTCTAATTACTTAAGACTGTTTTTTAAGTATGGAATGAATGATTCCTGATCTTAAAACCTATTATTTTATTATATTCAAAATTTACTTATAATTCCATCTCCTTGCTATTATGAAGTTTTTAATTTATTTATTTATTTTTTATTTTTTTAATCTTTTATTGATTTTATTTTTTTAAATACATGACAGCAGTGGAATGCATTACAATTCTTATTACAAATACAGAGCACAATTTTTCATATTTCTGTATATAAAGGATATTCACACCAATTGATGCCTTTATACATGTACTTTGTTGTTGTTTTTTTGCATTATAATTCTTTTTTTTTTTTTAATTTTTGTTGTTGGTTGTTCAAAACATTACATAGTTCTTGATATATCATATTTCACACTTTGATTCAAGTGGGTTATGAACTCCCATTTTTACCCTGTATACAGATTGCAGAATCACATCAGTTACTTGTTCTAATTAGTTACACATGACAGTAGTGAAGATTTTTTTTTCTTTTCTTTCTTTCTTTCTTTTAGGGTTTCATTTCAAATAGAGAAAAATGGAAGGTACTTGCCTCCAGTCTGCTAACTGCTGACCACTCCCCATGGACTCTGGAATCACCGCTGTGGGCTGGACAGAGTTGTGTAGTGCTACCCCAGGCAACTGTTGCCAAGTTGAAGGCAGGAGAATTTGTTGAGTTCCACCAGGCCAAGCTTGCTGTAAGGAAACACACAAAAAAACATCCAAACTTGACTCATTTTTGCCTTTTTCTTCTGATTTTTTTTTTGTTGTTTGTTTCTTGTTTTTTTTTTTAGATTGAAATAATATTTTTGTATCTTAAAAAAGTTGCTTGTAGACTGTTAACTTGCAGTGATTAATAAAGAAAGTTCAGAAGGGCTCATGGCTACAAGTCGTATGAAAAGCAAATAGAACATACTTTATTTTTGGCGGTGGGGGGGCCTACCTCCACAACCTAGCTAACAGGGTGCTAAAAAAAATGAAGATCCCTGCAGTTAAGACTTCATATTATACTGGAGAGAAAAGAAGTCTGAAAGTTCAGAGGTCAGCTCTGGTTAAATGTTGGAGCACCATTTTTGTAAAAATTGTAAAATATACATCCCTAGAAAGAATTTAGAAGACTCCCTTGGGATTAAAAAATAGAAATGCTAAAACTGGAGTGTGCCAATCAGATAAGACATCATGTCAATTCAACCCATAACACATAGAGCAGAACTGTTCCCTTTTTTTTTTTTTTAAAGGGTACTGCTTAGAAAAAGGAGCCAAATGTAGATGAACAAACATGCTTGGCATAAGCATAACACCATCATTTGTAGCCATATGAGAGAATTAAAAATTAAAGCAGTAAAATATTTGAGAAATCCATGCAGAACACATTATATTGTTTTTAATAGTTGTCTAGCTATATTTGCTTTATGTATCATTTATAGAATTATCCTTCAACATTAAAATTAATTACTATAAGAAAAATACATGAGTTCCAGTTTTTAACAAGCTATGTCACTTGCAAAAGACTGAGAATAAATATGTTTTCTGTACATCTTACAGAAATTCTGGCATTTTCTGAAAAAAATGAGAACATATTTGGAAATTTCTTTTTTAAACTTGAATTCTGCAGTACAATTACCTACAATACTTGGGTACATATGGTTCTGTTTCATGAATTTCAAACTGCAAGGCCATCAACACCCTGTTTTAAAAATATTTCTGCAAGTAACAGATCCACTTGTTACAAGTACCGGTTCCAAACAAGAAGCCTTCAAAGCAGAGAAACTGCAAACACGTCTGCTACCATACGCAGAATTTAAAACAAAACAAAACAAAACAAAACAGAAAATAAGAGAAATATGTTAAGTCACACCATGCGTCTTTCCATAAGCCAACACCTGCACAAGACAAAGCATGTAGTTTAATACAAAGCAAGAAATAACATTCCAACGTGAGGCAGAAATCTGGCGCTCCAAGCGACGAACTGTTTTGACAGAGGAAGAACAAAAATATGCAAAGCTTAGCAAATGGCTAGTGCAAACTTAAGAAAAGCAGCAAAGGAGAAGTATCAACTAACATTCCCAATCTCAAAACTACAGGTGAGTGAGCTGAAAGCAGAAGCTTGGATTGACCAAGTTGGAAATATATCTGATTCCCTTTGCATTCAGGTTTTGTTTATGACAAAATTGATCTAGAAATGACAGAGACTTTTAAACTGGAAACCAAACAAGTTCCAACCAAATATGTTTCTGGAAGCGTTTTCACTCATGTAAGTATTTTTAAAAGAACAAAAAAAAAATTTAAAACTACTTTGAAAGATGAGAAATATCAGGATTTAAAAGTAGCAATTAGGTCTTCAAATGTTTACCTAATTTTAAATTTCAAATAATGAAATACTGGAAATTCTAACTCCCCCAAATAAACAAAAACAAAAACCATCCAAAGATCACTCTGAAGGTTACTAATCCTGAAGTACACCTCAAAGTCCTATTTGTTTTTCCTGTTTCTAAGCCTGACACTACTACAACTGCATCTATGAATTTTCCCCATGACTTTTAATAACAAAGATGTATTCACATAGTTTGTCAATTGTGTTTTCATTCTTGTATTTGTAAAATAATTAATTTTTCTAAATACCCCTAAAAATGAATCCACTTTTAATTTCAATAAATCAAGTGATCTATAGGCACTTTCCAAAGGGAACATCCTTAAATGGAAGATAGAAGCTGCCACTGATCATGAGTGCCAAAAAGAGCTATCTTCACATGTTCATAGAAGGAAGGTTAATGTTAACTGATTAAGCAATCAATTCAGAGCATCTTAAGTATTTCTACATGCAGACATTTTAGAAGCTTCAAATAGCAAAAAAGGAAAGAAGCTAACTTGCCAAGGAGTTCAAATTTTGGCCATCCAGGTACCTGTAGCAAAGCCCCACACTAAAGGCCATTTCCTTTATTCTCAAGGATCGAAGCATAAAAGGTAGGGCAGAAAACAGGTAATAGTGTTGAAGCTCTTCTGAAGCTATATCAAGAGCTTTGACCACACAGGGCTGGCAAAGAAGAATCAAACTGGCTCTTTATAGAGCCTCACTGAACATCAGAGTCAAACAGTGCTTCAGCAAATGTTGAGGAGGAAAACAATGAGACATTAAAGATGTAGCAAGAACACAGCCACAAGATGGCACATGCTTCCATGCCCTCTGCAAAGACTAAGCTAATTTTTTTTTAAATAAGAAAACCAGAAAAAAAAAAAAAAAAAAAACAAAAAAAAAAAAGAAAAAAAAAAAAAAAAAAAAAACAGAACAAAAACAAACAGGAAAAAATTAAAAAAGAAAGAAACCAAAGAAACTCCGTTAGTAACACAATCAAGTGAGGGGAATTACCAGTACAGCAGCAGTCTGTTCAACCAGCGCCGGCCGGCCGGCTGCGCAGCTCAGAGTAAAGGGCACCGCATACTGCGGTGTGATGGTGGCTACTTGAGGGTGGAGAGTTGCTACCATTAGTGGTGTACAGCTTCCCTGAAATGTAGATTAGGCAGGTGAGTGAAACAAACACTGAGGCAGGTTATCTGGATTCAGAAGGGTTCTCATTCCCCCCAAGTTATTACCAACAACCGTCATTTCAAATCACCTAAAATGCATGTACAGAATATAACTTTTCCCCTTCAACTAGCAAAGCATGAGCCCATTTGGTCAAGTATTAATGGCATAAAGCAAAAAAGTGTAGAAATCTTTCTTGGGCCAGACTCAGATGATCAGTTCTAGGAAACAAAGGCATTTATCAAGAATTCTTCCTCCTGCTCACAATGTAGGGTTTTCAGATTTCAGAATTTTCTTTGTGTTATGAGTCATAAACATTTCCATATAGATTTTATAAAAATCTCAAAGTTGTTATACTGCATAAATACTTCATGGTTTTCTCAATCACCTTAGTTTTCTGTCCCATGGCAAATGTAATTTTCAAAGCACTGTACAACATGGTTAAACCCAAAGAATGAGAGAATATAATACTTGAAGAGGCATCCTGATGTGATTCAACCTCTCAAATGATAAAATTCCAAGAGTAATAAGCAAAAGGAACACAAAAGGAACCTTATCTTTTGGAATCAAAACATTGCATGTGTACTATATCTTTAAAATGCGGTGGGAGAGAGGACTTCATCCCACAAAATTAGAGTAAACTTACTCAAATGACCACTTCTCAGTGTCTGGATACTAATCCTAGCTAGACACTGGAAGAATTGCAATAATGTTAGGAATGAGAATACAGTTCCATTATAGATGTTTCATTTTAAGACCACTGAATCATAACCAAGAAAGATCTTATATTCCAAGCAAATACCATTTTCTAGGATGAAACACCTGATTCTCAGTAGTACTTCAGCAATACTGAGGTTCCACATTGCTCTGGTTTTTACCTGTGTAAGAACTCCTGACTGTATCTGTAGCGGCTGAGCAGCTGGCGCCTGGGGAACAATTGGCACAGCATTATCCATCCTCACAGGGAATCCAGAATGCTTTGTTGTTGCTTGCAGGCCAGCTAGTGAAAAGAGTATCACAATGAAATTGCTTAGCTGGATCTGAGAGTACTATTTGGGAAATTTTTGTTGTTTATTTTTTAGCTTTTCCACTACTTAGACTTTAGTTCTAGACATTTAAGACAAGGGAGTTTCATTCACAGAACTCTCAGGAGTTAAAAATAAAAAAGTGTTGGGGGGGGGGGAGAGGTGGAGAAATGGTTCCCTTCAGGTTAAATTAATGCAAAGATGTGTGACACAGAAAGTGGTTTAAGGGAATTCTAATTGTTTTTAATGTTATAAAATTTAAAACCAATACTCATCCCATCCCCATCAATAGTACAGGCAAAAAACAACCAATCACCCTTCAGTTAATACACTTTTTTTGTTCTTTTAATACACTGGGGTGGGACAGGGGGAGATTTTTAAGTATCTCTAAAATGATAATCTATTAAATGAGAAGACTTGATTACAGTTATAATTTTGGGTTAAACAAGAAAAATTATGAAACTCAGTAATTTTAAATCTAAGTTACCTTTTTACTAAGAATGCTTCAAGAATTTTTTCCCTCATTCCTCAAAAAATATAACCCAGTTCACAGTCTGGGTTTGTATCAGCCAACAAAAAATGAAGAAATTATGTCTAGGATAAAAGTATTTTAAAAAATAGACATTTTGGTTCGTGGAAACTTTCTTTTTATTTTAGAAATCTGTTCTTGTCATTGACAGTTTTTAAATATGATTCATTTGTGGCCAACTAGGAAAATCAAAAAGTCTTTGCTGCCATTAAAACACTGACCACGTCTTATATTTCTTCTTATTCTTTATGCTCTTCACACACATTCGGAATAAATATTTCCAATAAATAAGAAAATCTCATTCTAGGGAAAGGGGCTCAAGATAGTTGTTGCTTCTTGACAAGCCTCAAAAAACAGCTCGCCAATGATTTCTTCTAAACCTAACCTATTTAAAACTTTCAATATAGAAATTTCAAGTTCCTATTATGCCTGATCCACTTATGCCTACAATGACAAACATTTTAATTAGAAGACTCCATCACTGACATTTTCTTGGTATCATCAACTACTTTCTCTTAACATTACTAAATTAGTGTCAAATAAGTATAACTCATAAACCATAATACTGCTATTTTCACCAAGTCAGTCTTCTAATTTTTCATCTCAGTAACTTAGAATATCCTAATGATAACCTTTTTAAAAAAATGATACTTATATAACAACAAAAAGTAACAAATTGAGATATCAAGAATAAAAGTTGCCAACCATGTTACTTCAGGTAAATAAGAAAGTCAAGCAACAAAATTTTTGTCTATAGTCCTAGGACACATGGCTAACTTCAATGGCCTCCTATATACTGACAGGAACTGAAGAGGTAAAATTTAGGAGGAAATGTTCAGTATAGAAACTCATCTACGGCTCTCAGAGTAATAAAGTAAAAGGAGACAAAAATTACAAAAGAATAGTTACCCCTAAGCAAAATGTGTATCTATTTTTGTCAACTGGAAGAATTTGTGGAAAGTAATTTATAGTACTGACCTACAAATGTGACTCTGAGTATGAGATTGTTATAGTTATTTAGGCTAAGCCACAACAGTGGAGGTAAATTAAAATTCTTGCTTCTTTCCTACACAAAATGGAAACAAAGAGTAACAAAAAGGCAACACTTTGGAAAGGTTCTTCCTGAATCCTGATCTAAAGGATTAGTGTTCTTTTCTTTTTTTTTTTTAATGTTACTTTTATTTTAATAAATGTGGTCCTTGAATATAAAAAAACATGGATATATGGAAAGAAGAGTAAAACTGCCTAACTGATGAGGGTCTTTCCTGCTCTAAGTATAGGCATCTTACAAAAGAATGGAAGGTGAAAGAAAAGTGGGCAAGCTAGACCAGAGGATTGGGGCAGAAATGAGCATATGGTGATGGCTGGCAAGTCAACTGATACCTCTTTACAATTATATGAGTTTAAATACTGAAAGGCAAAATGGAATAACACTTCAAAATACCTATATCATGAATTCCCTATCTGGGTTCAAATCATGGTTCTGCCATAAATAGTTATATAAGACTGGGCAGATGAGGATTTCCTCATTTATAAATTGGGAATAATGATATTACCTACCTCCTAGGATTGTGTGTGAGGATAAATTAAAACATAAAATCATCCAGAATATTAACTAGAATATGGTAATACATACCAGGTATCATTATACCACCTGAATTTCAAAAATCCCTTTCATTTGAAAAATTTAAGTTTTCTCTATTAGCTCCTTATGTTATTTAGACTTCCTGGATAGAAAAAAAAAATTCTAAATCTTATACTTACCTAATTATACTTTCCCCCTCTACCTCTTTAGTTTACATTTTGTTTTATTAAAAGAATCTGAAAGTTCTTCTGCTTCAACTGTGATGTATCATCTGAGAGGAAGCAGTAAACTTTAGGGCCCCACATCTGAAAATTGTTCCAGTAAAACCCACTTTCGAAAAGGCTGGGGAAGGGGTGGCTAATTATCTAAAATTAGTAGAAGAATCACTCAGTATCTGACAACTCAAAGTACAGATTTGACTACTATGAAGCATATGTAGAAAGTAATTTGGTAAGTTAGGCTAAATTTGCATTTACGGATTTTGAATCTGCTTCTCCGCTCTCCCTATGGTTTCTCCCTGGTTTACATCGCTATCGCTCTCCTGTCCTCCCAGTAATCTGTCAGTCTCCCCCAACCCCTCATTTCCTTCTGCTTGCTCCGACTCTGTCAGACACCAAACACACACAAGAGTCACAGTCAATAAAAAACTAAAAAGTAAAAAAGATAAAAAGGCTACCTGCTTTTATGTAAAATGCTATGACAAGCCTGAATCCCGGTTTATTCCCACAGGGGACTAACACTGACTTTCTATTAAGAAAGTCATGCATGTCACCATGAAATATCTATAACATAACTAAGCCTTCTACATGGCTTATCCAACCAATAAACAAACATTTCCTATATTTGAGAAAAAAAAGGAACTGGACAGACTGGATTATAGAACAACAATAAAAAAAAGAGAGAAGGATGGGAATGTGAAACTTAACATCTTACTATAACACATGGAGAAAGTCTCTTTCTTTTTTTTTTTTAATCTTCATTTTCCCTTTATTGTTTTTTTTAAATTGGTTGTTCAAAACATTACAAAGCTCTTGACATATCATATTTCATACATTTGATTCAAGTGGGTTATGAACTCCCATTTTTACCCCGTATACAGATTGCAGAATCACATCAGTTACACATCCACGTTTTTACATATTGCCATACTAGTGACTGTATTCTGCTACCTTTCCTATCCTCTACTATCCCCTCTCCCCTCCCCTCCCATCTTCTCTCTCTACCCCATCTACTGTAATTCATTTTTCTCCCTTGATTTTTTTTTTCCCTTTCCCCTCACATCCTCTTATATGTAATTTTGTATAACAATGAGGGTCTTCTTCCATTTCCATGCAATTTCCCTTCTCTCTCCCGAGAAAGCCTCTTTCTTCAGCTATTTTGTTCCTGTTAACAGAACTTGCAGGAACAATATGATTCATAAACTGAAGCATATAATCTTAATGCCTCCCCACACAACAATTTCAGCTTGTAGAATTTTTCAGTTTAATAAATGATCTTTATTACTGATACAATTTAGGAAGTTTTTATATTCTTAACCATGATTTTTACATTTTAAAATAAAATAACCTTTTATTTGGGACCTAATTTTATTCTATGATGGAATGATATAGAAAATTAGACTCAAGATACAGCAATTATGCTAAAAAAATTTTTTCCCCAAGATGTGTATATTCTACATGTTGGGAGATACATGTTTATACAATATATTGATACAAGGTCTCAATGGGCAAAAAAATTAGTAACAGATACATCAATTAAAAAACATAAATTGAGTTTATAGTGTGTCAAATAGCATCATAAGTAGACAAATATAAAAAGAAAAATCACCTTTGTGATATTATCCAATTTCAGTTATCATTATCATCAGAAACAGAGTTTAAACTTATTAGAGATCAGAACTAAACAGCTAGATCTGCCTAACGCACGCAGGTCTGCTAAAATACCATACAACATAGTTTCCCCACTTACTTTGAAAAGCAGGTGGACATACTATAAATGTTTGTTGGAATGGATCCGTCTGTGTGCATATCTGAGTTGTTCCAGGCTGCAAGGAAACACCCTGCTGTGCAACTCCAGGAACTGGTGCAGCAGATGATGGGTACAAAGCTGACTGGTAGTTTAGTAATGAGACGTCTGAATTAGCCAGAGAAAGAGTAGCAGCTGCTGCAGTAGAACTGGAAGCTAGAACACTGGCCTAAAAACAAAAGAATTATACTTATATACTGCCATAAAGTAGAGATAGACAATATATATATATATAATCTATCCTGAAAAACCTAGAATAAAGTTTTAAAATGCAATGTTCATTATCTTTGAAATAACTCTGCTTAAGAAATTTTCCCAATCCCTAAAATTAAGGCATACTATATGGTCAAATAAGCAAAAAGATAACAAAAGAATAACAAGTAGTTATTCTTTAATCCTACACTGATTATAGCTATCTAAACCTTAATTACCTCTGCACAAAAATTGCTAGATGGGAGATCCCACTACACCTCATATTCCCTTCCATTTGGAATGTAGACCTAGTTAAGAAGCCGTGAAGCTTACAAACTTCTGAAACAAACTTAAATGTAATTATCACTAAGTTAGCAAAAAAAAAAAAAAAGCAAAAAATTCTGCAGGAAGTCACCCATGAAATGTGTGTGAACCTTTTCAACACTGAAGGCAGCGATGGGGAAGGTCTGATGTTTGGGAGCTTAACGTGGCAATTCCACTGTCAAGATGGCTTAATACAAATGAACTCCTTTCTCAGTTCTGCCCAGAAAGGTCCCATGTAGCACTGGAGAAGGGCATGACCCATTAGGAACCGAGCAGTCTACCTGCCCCCACCTCTATCCTGTTTTGGTGAAGAACTTTCTGTCGAATCCCTTTGATCTATTCCAATATAAATACAGCAAGCCCAGGCTCCCTTCTTTGTTAGAAGATGCACCTGTCTGGTCAGCTTGGCCCAATGCTTCCCCAGCTCTGAAACTATTTTTCTGTGGTCTGTGGTTATATCATAGTACTACTTTCCCAGCTTTTATTTCTTAGCCAGCCCATCCCTCAAGAGGAGAACCTTTTCCCTTGCCCACATGGGACATGAGCAAGAAACTACCTTTAATGTATTGGAAATACTCTTCAATAAAGTAGTAAGACACAGGTCCTTCTCCTAACTTGGAGAAAGCAGTAAATAGTACAATAGCCCATTTATTTGATTATGCTAAAATTTATGAGGGAATGGATTAGGCCTTTGTTTTTTTGTCAGCAAGCGACTGATAGGTAAAAACCAATCTATATTGTCTTCCATCATTTTTGCCAAGTAGAAAATTCTTATGAAGTAACAAGACCACCAAAACAAAGACTCATTTTGGTTTCTTTACCTCACCCTGCACTCCTACTAGTCTCTATACCACTTAGGCTTGAGTTTCCAAAATCATTGACTGAATACCTGATTGTGCACTGCATTGAGCTGGTTGCTGAAGCTCATGGTTAGGTTTGTGCTTGTATTTGGTGCAACATGTGTAGTGAAGGGACTCTTGATCTGACTCACTGTATCATACATGTGAACCCTCCGCTTGCAGATCTCCATGTTCTGGAAACAAGATTTAACACTGAAAGAGATTAAAGATTCACTAAATGAATGCTGAAATTTAAACAGACAGCAAATAACTCAAGACAACTACACAAGTTTTTTTTTCCCCCACGCACTTTCAGAAAAAACAACTCAAGAGATTTTATAATCAAAACAAGGAAAGATCTAATTTTTAATCTTGTGACTTATCAATGAGAAAGAAAAGTATCAGTAAGTCAGATAAACAAACACCAAAGTTGCTTTTAACTTGATAGTTCCATATAAGACAGCAATTCAGTCAAGAACGATATCCTGGCAAAAGTCCCAGACTGTACCATACTTACTGATTGCTATGTGGAAAATCCAGAAGGTGAGTCATTGTCACAAACTGATGGTTAAGAGTTTTCAGAGGAGTAATTCTCTTATCTGCATCAATTGTTAGCATTTTTTTTAACAGATCAATGTATTCTCTTCTATCTGCCTTCTCTGCCAACATGTCTGTTCCCTCTAAGTCAGTAGACATATTCACCTTCCAAGGAAAATTTAGAAATATTATATTCTTCATTTAAGATAAACAGTAGACTTAGCACTTAATGCATCTGCTTTTTTTCCAAAAAACAAAAAATAAATATTTAATGTTGGCATTTGAAAAAAGAAAAACCTAGGGAAATTCTTTTTATTATAGTAAATTATAATACTATAATATAATTCACAGAAGGGAACTCCTTATGCTGCCTAAGTGGTAGAATAAACCTGAACCAAAACCATCTTTAAAAATTGGAACAGCCAAGCATGGTGTCACACCAGTAGGCATGGTGGCACACACCTGTAATCCCAGCAACTCGGGAGGCTAGGGCAGGAGGATTACAAATTCAAGGCCAGCCTCAGCAACTTAGTAAGACCCTATATCAAAACAAAGCTGGAATGTAGCTTAGTGGTAAAAGTGCCCATGGGTTAAACCTCCAGTACCTAAATAAATAGTATTTAAAACAAATGCCTTAAGCAAAAGTGATTATTATTAATTGAATATAAAAGTTTCTATTGTTGAAAATTAAATGGCATAGTAAGTAAAAAATGTTTGAACAGAGTTTGGAATGTAAGAAGCACTCAATAAATGTTAGTTTTTATGTAGTTAATTATTCAGACAAACAGAACAAGAAAAAAACCTTCATAAACAATATTTTAAAATACTGATATGTAATAAGACCATGCTTAATGCAAAAGCAAGAAAGAAATATACTCAGATTGAATATCCCATATTAAAAATTCTTGGATTTTGAATATTTGCATTGACTTTACCAATTGGTCAGGCATTCCTAACTATAAAACCCAGTAAGAGGGGGCTGGGGATGTGGCTCAAGCGGTAGCGTGCTCGCCTGGCATGCGTGCGGCCCGGATTCGATCCTCAGCACCACATACAAACAAAGATGTTGTGTCCGCCGAAAACTAAAAAATAAATATTAAAAAAAAAAAAAATTCTATCTCTCTCGCTCTCTCTTTAAAAACAAAACAAAACAAACAAACAACAACAAAAAAAAAAACAGTAAGAGCTGTAATCTAAAGCTCTTTCAGCATCCTGTCAGTGCTCAAACAGTTTCAGATTTCAGAGCATTTCTGATTTGGGGTTTTTGGATTAGGGATGTTCAACCTATAATCCTAAAAGTATTCTATGTTAAGATTTAAATATTCTTTTAACACACGGCAGAATACTAATTTTTTTTCTGTAAAAACTGAAAACTAGTACTAAAAGACACAGATTAAATCTGTCTTTAGTATAACCAACAGAAGTGTGTCTCTGATTAAAGAAAGACGTAAATGTCTTTATGAAATTTGCCACATTTACCTGAGCCATGTCATCCAAACAGTTAAAAATGTACTTCCGAGCTTCTTTTGATTTTATTCCAGTCTCCAATTCGTGTTCTTCAGGTGTCTATAAAATATGGATTTTTAAAAATTCAATCTGTATGCTATTTTCACATTTTAGCTAATTTCACCTTTTATTCTAAATTAAAACCAGAATACAAAGAGGCAAGTATTGTCACCTTGCCAACCGTAGATGGCATAGATTACAACCAGAAAATCTTCTGGTAGAGAGTTGTGATTCTGATAGCTGCCTACCCTTTCAACAGTGATTAAAATAAACAAGCAAGAATGATGCACCACACCTCCTGAAGAAAGTCAAATAAGATCCATTACCATTTTTCTAGGGAAGCCACTTTGAAATGAACTGATATCGCAAATGCTAACTGTTCAAGAGACTCAGAGGCATAGTGTCACAAAGTTAATCAAATCACTCTGATTTCTCAATTTAAAGGAGTAGGCTCAGATACTTGTTTCAAGAAAACATAAGGCCTAAATGAGGACAGTTTGAAAAATATATTGTTTTATCATGTTTATTGAAAATTCTCTACAAAAGTCATTATTTCTCTAGTTCTTCATACCACTTAATGATAAGCACTATTCTCGACATCCCCCTCAACTGCTAAATCAAAATATACAAAATAATCTCAGCTAACTGAACCAGCACTTATTTTGTTTTTAACTAAGGATAAGGCCCACACGGGTACAATGAACAGTTTTTAAAGTATCTCCTCCTGCAAACATACCTTTCCCACCTCCTTTCCCTCTTCTACCTCAAAAATTTAATAACTGAAGTCTGAATTCAAAGTTGTGAAAGGGGAGGACAAGCATAGGTAATACAGTAGCAAAGACAAACCTTAAGCCTCCACAGTGGATAACCCAAATTAGGATCTCTGTTGAAAAACCTGGTTGTTTTTGTTCCAGCACTGAGAAGATATTCAGCGGGCAGGCCTTGCGTTTGTGAAATGTAACGAATCTGAAACGTTAAAACCATAAAACATCAATTTGGAGTGAAAAAAAGGAAATCACTGAACACTTTTACACTAAAGCATTAACACTAGCCAAAAAAAGGAAGGTATTGCAAATAAATGAACTCTTTAATCAATACAACTGAAATTTACCTGTAAATAAACATAAATATGTAATGTTAATCCATTCACTTGTACTACCCAAATATTTATTTAGTTACTACCATGCTATGAGAGATGCTATTTAAAAGGAAACCCAGTCTTGATATTTATTTATTTAGTTGGTTAGTTAGTTATTTTGGTATTGGGGATTAAACCCAGAGATACTTAACCACTGGGCCATGTTCCCAGTCTCTACTTGAGACAGGGTCTTGCTAAATTGCTCAGGAACTGAGGCTCATCTTGAACTTGTGATCCTCCTGCATCAGCCTCCTGAGTCCGTGGGATTAATGGTGTATGCCACTGTGCCCAGCCCAGTTTTGAAAATTTTGAGTGTAATCTCACTTTTTTGTTAGATTTCTGATACAAAGTTCAGAAAACTTTAGATTTCTAAGACATACCAGAATAGTTTTTAAAACCTGTTTTTCATGAAGTAACTTTTTAAAATGCATTATCAAATTGGAAAGATTAGGAAAAAGTTCTGCAAACTCCTTCTTCGTTGGGTTCTATAGCTCTTATCAACTGTCCCTACTCTAAATACCCACGGAGTTTATTTCTCAACTAACACATTTAGTACTTAATTTAGCTTCTCTAGCCCCACATCAATAGGGGGCTGGTACTATATTTCATTCAGTTAACATTTAATGATCACCTCCTGTGACTAGGATAGCAGTTCTCAAAAGTGTGCTGAGGCTCAGGGGTAAGGGGTCCATGAAGTGAATACTATTTCCATAATATTAAAAAGTTATTTACATTTTTCACTCTCTTCCCAGAAATATACAGTACAGATTTCCAAACGTGATGTGAAGATGTCATTGTTCTGATAGCTATAAAATGTGTATGTATATTATTTGTTTTATTGGCTGGGCGTGGTGGCGCACACCTGTAATCCCAGCATCTTGGGAGGCTGAGGCAGCCCTAGCAACAGTGAGGAACTAAGTTCAAAGCCAGCGCTAGCAACAGTGAGGCATTAAGCAACTTACTGAGACCCCGTCTCTAAATAAAAAAGAGAAAGGGCTGGGGATGTGGCTCAGTGGTTGAGTGCCCCTGGGTGCAATCCTCGTACAAAAAAAAAAAAAAATTGCTTTATTGTTCACACCTGTTTGCTTCTATAACAACTCTGCCTGACCAGAAAAGCATCAGAAGGGTAATCTGCTTCTCTCCCCTCCCTTGAGAGCAATAAGAGGCAATTTTTTTCTTACAAACCCCCACCACATATAAATGGCTATAATTAACATGAAATTAGAAATAAATATGTAAACAAGGAAAAGAATCCTGGCCAGGAGCAGTGGTGTATGCCTATAATCCCAGCAAATCAAGAGGATGAAACAGGCCAACCTCAGCAACTTAGCAAGACCATGTCTCAAAATAAAAAATAAAAAGGATGGAGGATGTAGCTTGGTAAAGTGAACCTGGGTTCAATCTCCAGTATCCTCTCTAAAAAAAAAAAAGAAAAGAATCTTATTTTCCATCACTCTCCACCTCCAAAATTCCCAGCTTTAATTTCTAATGCAGTATGTATTGATAATAATAATATAAGATCCATAAACAGAGTTCTTTAGGATCAATTACTTTTTCAATTAGTGGAAAGCAGGAGTAGAGAAACTATGGCCTATAGGCCAAATGTGGCCTACCATCGTAATGATTTTAAACAAGTTATTACTCCAAATACATGGGCCCTACCTCACCAGAAACAAAACAGCATTAGCAAAATGGGGGTGGGGGATCTTAACCCTGAATAAGAACATTTTAAATGTGAACTACTTGTGTGTATGAAAAGGTGAAGTATGTTTTAAATCCAGGATAAAATTTGCATAATGAAATATTATGTGGACATTTTAAGTGATAAGGTAGAGGGTATTTATTGACATCTAAAAGTATTTTACAATAGATTATGTAGAAAGGCATATTATAAATTAAATAAATCTCATTTTTAAAAACAATCACTACAAAAAAAAAATCACTACACCGATTCCAAGAGGCACATTTATTCACATTAACATCTTTGAAATCAGAATATGTGTTAGAATTGATAGCTATCATGGTTTAACTGGCACATTCTTTTCTTCTTTCTTAGAAGTACAGAAAATCATGCTGTCTTAAATTTGATGAAATAATGTATGTGCTCCTTCATTATCCACAATATATATATTTGGAATGTATATCTATTCCATATATATATATATATCCACAATATATGTATTTGTAATGTATATTTTGAATGTAGTATCTAGTCATTCTTTCTTTCAATAAGTGTTTATGGAGTCAAGCAGTGAACAAACACAGTTCTTGCTCTCATGGAGTTTGCATTCTAGTAAAGGAGACAGAGACTGAATGTGTAATTCAAACTGAGTTAGCATTGTGAAGAAGAAATTAAGTCTTCTATAAAAATACATAAAAAAAGAAACCTGGCCTCGACTGAGGACTGGCTCTTTGGGGAAGTGACACTTCAGGGGAAAAATGAGTAGACACTCACTAAATGAAATGAATAGGTGAGAGCAAAGTATTCCAAAGGAATAGATGAGAGCAAAGTATTCCAAAGGAAGGGTGCAGCATGTGCCTGTGCTGAAAAGAAGCATATTATTTCATTCTTAGTATTAGGGATTGAATCCAGGGGCACTTTACACCTGGGTATATCCCCAGCCTTTTTAGTTTTTATTTAGAGTCAGGGTTTCACAAAGTTGCTGAGGATCTCGCTAAAGTTGCTAAGGCTAGCCTCAAACCTGTGATCCTCCTATCTCAGCCTCCAAGTCGCTGGAATTACAGAGATGTGCCACCACACCAGCAAGAAACATTCTTAAAGTATGTTAAAATGATGCTGATGAGGGCAGAGGAGAAAGGTAGGGAAGGGGCAGTTCCACATAGAAGAAGCTCAGAGGTCATATTAAGGATGTAGTCCTTCATTCTAAAAGCAATGGAAAATCATTGAAGTCAAAAGGTATGACATATTCAAATTCGTGATTTGAAAAAAAAAATTACTCTGGAAAAAAGATTGTTGAGATACCAGAGTAGGAAAGGGACATGGTCTAGTAGGTAAGTGACAAAGACAGCCTGGACTCATGTAGAAGCACTGGAAAAAAAATGAATATATTATCAAGAGGTATTTAGGACATAAAAAGTTACGTGAGGGCTGGGGTTGTGGCTCAGTGGCAGAGTGCTTGGCTAGCATGCGTGAGGCACTGGGTCCTATTCTTAGCACGACATATAAATTTTCCTGCATAGAATTTATCTTAATTGGACTATAATTATCTGTGTGATTACTTATTTAATGCTTTTCCCATTATCAAAACTGTGGCCTGGGGCTGGGTTTATAGCTCAGTGGTAGAGCGCTTGCTTCGCATATGCAAGGCCCTGGGTTCGATCCTCAGCACGTAAAAACAAATAAGTAAATAAATAAATAAAGTTAAAAAAAAAAAACTGTGGCCTTATTCAAGGGCAAATACAATGTTTGTTTTATTTCTGTTGAATCCCTAGTGCCTATGGTACCTGACAGAAAATTTGGCACCCAATAAACACATAATAAAAAATTGACAATATATAATAAAATAAACACAAAATATACCAAAATATAAAGGGTTACCTCCAAGTCATACAGGAAGTTGAGATCTTTGTCTCTTGGCTTATACCATCTTTTCTGATTTTTCTATACTGGTGCACTCATGGAATTTCTTTGTTTTGGTTTTTTTTTTTTTTTGGAGCTGGGGATCGAACCCAGGGCCTTGTGCATGCAAGGCAAGCAGTCTACCAACTGAGCTATATCCCCAGCCCCACTCATGGAATTTAAACATTTAAAATTTTTGGTATTATAAAATGAAAAGTGTTTCATTATGAAAGTAGAATCACCCTAATTTTTCCACAAAGCTTATCAACAAGAAGTCCATATTTAAGCAAATAAAAAATATTGTCATTTGTTATTTTAAACAATTACAATGTTTTTGACAAATTTGAAGCTATTAACCAGTTTATAAAGAAGGTACACACACTTCTGACTGACAAACATGTGATATAAATCTCAGCTATAACATCTATGAAAAATTCACAGCTAACATTATACTTAACAGTGAAAAACTGAACACTTTTCCCATAAAATGAGGAACACAACAAGGATGTCCACCATAGATATTTCTATTCAACACTAAACTAGCACTTCAGTGCAAAGCATTTGGATTAGGGAAAAAAGGATCAAGATGGAAAGGAAGATATAACACTATATTTGTAAATGACATGATCTTGTACATAGAAAATCGTAAGGGACTCATAAAAACTATTAGAACTACAGTTATTAATAGTTCTAATAGTTTTTATTCTATTAGAATCAACAGGATATGAACTAAATTACAAAAATCAACATTATGTCAATATACTAGTAATAAATAATCTAAAAGTAAAAATTTTTAAAAATCCACTTACTGCCAGGTGCAGTGGTACACACCTGTAATCCCAGTGATTTGGGAGGCTGAGGTAGGAGGATTGCAAGTTCAAGGCCAGCCTCAGCAATTTAGGAAGGCCCTAAGCAATTTAGCAAAATCCACTCTCAAAATAAAAAATAAAAAGGGCTAGGGATGTAGCTTAATGGTAAAGCACCCCTGGATTAAATCCCCAGTTCCAAAAAATTAAAATTAAAATTTGAAAAAAATTCATTCACTAAAGCATAAAAAAAAAAGACTTGAAAATAAATTTAACAAAAAAAGTACAAAACATGTACTCCAAAATTACAAAACATTGCTAAAGAAAACCTAAATAAATGTAAAGTCATCCCAGGTTTATGGATCAAAAGACTTATACTGTTAGGTGCTGATACTTAAACTGATCTACAAATTCAATACAATCTCAATAAAAATCCCAGCTGGCTTTAAGAAGAAATTGACAAGTTAATCCTTCTGAGTTCATATGGAAATGGAAGAGTCCCAAATAGTCAAAAGAATCTTGAAAAAAAAGAACAAAGTTATAGGATTCATACTTCCTGATTGTAAAAATTACTACAAAGCTTAAGTAGTCAAAATGATGTGGTCATATATAAAAAGATAAATATAGATGCCTACACAATTTAATGAGTAAAGAGGTCTTTTCAGCAAAGGTTTTTTCAGACACTGTGAGAAATGAATATCTGTATCAAAAGAATTAAATTGTCCCCTTACCTTATACCATTAACAAAATTATCTTAGAATCAAAGAAACTTAAGAAGTTAAATTATAAAACTCTCAGAAGAAAACAGAGAGGAAAAACTATAGGACGTTGGATTCAGCAATGACTTCTTACATTTGATACCAAAAGTATAAGCATCAAAAGAAAATGTGGGCAAACTGGACTTTGTCAAAGTAAAAAACACTGGTACATCAAACAATACATCCCTAGGTAAAATGCAACCTATGGAATGAAAGAAAGCATTTGCAAAACACTGTAATATTATATATCCAGCATATATACAGAACTACAACTCAGCAATAAAAACACAATACCCATGATCAAAAATGGTCAATGGACTGAATAGACATTTCTTCAAATAAGCTATACAAATATTCAATGAACACATGAAGAAAGACACTCAACATCACTCATTACCTGGGTGTGGTGGCACACGCCTATAATCCCAGCAGCTCAGGAGGCTGAGACAGGAGGATTGTGAGTTCAAAGCCAGCTTCAGCAACTTAGTGAGACCCTATCTCTAAATAAATACAAAAAAGGGCCGTGGATGTGGCTCAGTGGTTAAGCGTCCCTGGGTTCAATCCCAGGGATCAAAAAAAAAAAATTTACTAATTAGGGAAATGAAAATCAAAAGCACAAAGAATACCACCTCATGGGCTGGGGATATAGCTCAGTTGGTAGAGTGCTTGCCTTGAATGCACAAGGCCCTGGGTTCAATCCCCAGCACAAACAACAATTTTAAAAAAAGAATACCACTTCATACCTACAAGGATGGCTACTATCATCAGAAAACCTCAGAATAAAAAAATGTTGGTTAGGATGTGGGGAAGTTAGAACCCTCATGCATTGCTGCCAAGAATGTAAAAATGGTGTGGCCTGTGTGGAAAACAACTTGATGGTTCCTCAGAAAGTTAAACATAGAATTACCACAACCCAGCAATTTTGCTCCGAGTTATATAACCCAAAAGAACTGAAAACAGGGACTTACATATTTGTACACCAATGTTCATAGATGCATTATTCACAATAGCCCCAAACAGTAACAACCCAAGTGTCTACCAATAGATGAATGTATTTAAAAAATAATGGAATACTGTTTACCATAAAAGGGAATGAAGCTCTGAAGCAGCAATAGGGAAGAACCTTGAAAACATGCTAAGTAAAAAGAAGCAAGTCACAGAATACCACGTTATATGTGATGTATGATATGCCAGAATAGGCCAATTTATAGAAAGAAAGTAGACTGGTGGTTGCCGAGAGGTGGGAGAAAGTAAGGTGGTTAGGGGAGAATTGGGGATTAATTGCTAATAGGTACAGAGTTTATTTATGGAATATGGTGAAATGTTCTAGAACTGACCATGGTGATAGCTCTACAACCCTGTGAACATACTAAAAGCTACTGAACTGTACACTCTAAATGACTGAATTGTACAGTATGGGAATTATCTCTATAAAGTTGTTTAAAAAAAAAAAAAGCTGGATCTTTCCATAGGAATCCTTGAGACCCAAGGAGGAGTAAGAATCAATGGCTTGGTTCAACCAACACTGTGGTTTTGCAAAAAAATAGATTAAAAACTTATGAAACAAAACATAACTGATTATTTTTTTTTTATTTTTAGTTGTAGATGCACAAAATACCTGTTATTTTTATATATCCATTTTTATGTGGTGCCAAGGATCGAACCGAGTGCCTCACATATGCTAGGCAAGCGCTCTGCCATTGAGCCACAGCCACAGCCCCATAAGTGGTTACTTAAAACAAGCCATTTTTATATTTCACTAAGTCCAAAAATGTCAAATTTTTGGAAGGTGGTAAATATTGCATCTACTCTACAACAGACCGAGATAAAAATCCTAGACCGAATAGGAGAAAATACTGTTTCGCTATTTTTTTTCCTTCTAATCGTTCATTTTTTGAAAAAAAGAAAAACCAAAAAAAAGTAAACAGTGTCAGAAGGAGCTTCTATATGTATAGAGGGTAAATATTTCTCCCCTTTTTTTTTTTTTTTTTTTTTGGTGGTTCTGGGGATTGAACCAGGGCCCTCTACCACTGAGCCACATCCCCAACCCTTTTTATTTTTAGACAGTGTCTCACTATGTCACTGAGGCTGGCTTTGAACTCATGATTCTCCTGCCTCAGCCTCCCAAGTCACAGGAATTACTGGCTTGCACCACTGGGCCCAAATTAAAAAAAAAAAAATCATTCTAAAGAACAAGATAATTCACAATTTACTTCTATGGCAAAACTGTTCCCTTCAATGGACCAATTACTTGAAAAACTGTAACTACCCTCTCCTAAAGCTTTTCTGTTTTAACAAAGAAATTCCTGTATTAAAATACTTTACAACAGATTCATCTCATAAATTCTATTTTACAGTGACCCAAACTATCATAGCTTTTGGCACCTAGGTATGCCAGTCTGAAGACAGTATTTACTTCAGTATGTGTCACATATGTATAAAAGGAAATAAAAACAACTTAGTAAGCCAAAGTTCAGTCTTAAAACTCCAGTCCTTTATCCTTACTTTTACATCTCAACTCATAAGATAGTCGTTAACTGAAGCTAGGTCTCTAATAAATCATAATAGATATAAAAGTACCAATCTTAAGTAATAGAAAATAAAATCCTTTTGTTTATTGTAGATTTGCAAATATAATATTAGACCAAGAAAGATGGTATAAATACTAGACCAAGAAGAAAAGTAGAAAAAAATTCTACTATTTGTTTAAAAACTCTTTAGTAATAATTGGATTCCTCTTTTCCTGTTATCTAAGTACTTCTATTCCTCTGGAATCTACTTCACTAGTAACTACAGTTGACTGATCCTTGAACAATGCCATGAGGTGCTGATCCTCAATCCCATGGCTGAAAATCCACATGTAACTTTTGACTACCCCAGAACTACTAATAAGCCTGCTATTGACCAGAAGTCTTACCAATAACATGAATGGTAGATTAACACATATTTTTATGTTTTATATATATATTACATAGGTGAAAAACATGCAAGGACCACAAGATATCACTTTTTCCTGCTATATGCAGTTTACAGGAGCGAGTGTTAGAGTGGAGACGATTAGCATCACTTAACATTTTAGGCAGATAATCAACTACACTTGAGCTCACCACAACTGCAACAGGAGACTGCTATGAAATTATTATAATAGTACAGTATGTACTACAATTAATTTCATGCAGTTATGATTTAATATTTCATGTTTATATTTCTCTTAACTGAATGGCATCATGTATAGTCTATATGTATAAATTATGAACTTTTTATAATAAATGTACATATATTTTATGGTAATAAATGCTAACAAACCATTATCTACATATATTTTATGCATCCATGACATACCTAATTTTTCTTAATTTTTTTCAATATTTCTAGGTTACATGGTTGATCAGTGAGTTTTTTCAAATTATTCAAAAAAAAAAAAAACAGTCCATTCAAGTGGACCCATGCAATTCAAACCCATGTTGCTCAAAGGTCAATTGTATTTGTTATTTCTATTTCTATCCACATAAACATTCTTACCTGATCATATTCTGAAGCACCAGGATAAAGAGGCCATCCCAGGAACAGCTCAGCTATTACACAGCCCAATGACCACATATCAATAGCTTCACAAAATGGTAATCCAAGAATAATTTCAGGGGCTCTAGCCAAAACAAAAATATCAGATAAAAAAGTAAACATTAATGGGAGAAATTAACTATGTTGACTAAATCCTGTTTTAGCATCAGCTAAAAATTCATTTATTTAATGAAACTAAAAACAACCAGTCAATTTAGAATTCAGAATTTTTTGAATCTTAGAAAGATAATACAGAACATAAACCATGTATTACATAATAATCCCAATGGGCAGAGCAATGCCCCATAATCAAACACACTGATATTTCTGCAACAAAACCAAGAACAGGCATACGAAGCTAGCCAAATGAAGACTTTATTTTATTTATTTTTTTTTTATTTATTTATCCATTCATTCGTTCATTCATTTATTTATTTATTTTTGGTGCCAGGGACTGAACCCAGGAGCATTTAACCACTGAGTCACATCCCTGTCCCTTTTTATTTTGAGACAAGGTCTCGTCAAGTTCCTAGGGCCTTGGTAAGCTGCTGAGGCTGGCTTTGAACTTCCGATCCTCCTGCTTCAGTCTCCTAAGCGGCTGGGAGTACAGACATGTGCCACTGTGCCCAGCTAAACAAAGGCTTTAAATAGCTCCACAATGGTTTAAGTTAGGTCTTGACAATAAATAAATTGTTTATAACAAACTTGGGGAGCATTTTCAATTTTTGAGAGCTTTCTGAAGGTTGGAATCACAAAGAAGCATAATTTTTTCTTTTTATTATTAAACCTTTTTAATTATTAAAAAAAATCAAGTAAACGTCCTGGTCAATAATTACACCTTTGTGACAAAAAAATTTTTCTGAGAAGATATGGTGGTTGTCAGTTCACTCTAGAGCCAGCCGATCAGGGACTGAAACCTAGCTCCATCATTTAACAGCTATGGTAGACACAACACTAAATCTCTGTGCCACAGATTCCTTGTCTATAAAATGAATTAAGAGTATCTATCACACAGTGTTGCTGTGACATTTAAATAAATACATTCAAGTTCTTGGATGAGTATCTGGCACATGACAAGCGCTAGGTGTTATATATAATAATAATTACTGTTATCATTATTTTAAAACTTTGAACTCTTTTTTGTGCTTGTAGAAAAAAATCATTTCTATTAATACTCACATAAGAAACATAACCATCGGGAACCTTAAAGAGAAGAACAAAGTAATTCATAAACTAAGAGTTTTATATATATGAACACATCTAAAATATAAGTGTTACCCCATTTATAGAGGATGAAACTAAAGTAAAGAAAGATTAAGTAATTTGCCCAAAATCACAATAAATAACAGAGCAGTCTGTCTGGCTCCAAAATTAATATAACATCCTATCTTTCAATGAATAAAAGTTACAAACATAACCATCTACATAAATCTATTTGGCATGGTGGTATACATGAGTGTTTCTGGCTAAAATTAAGAGGAAAGAGTGGGTTCAAAAAAGGAATGGTACGGTCTGGGGTAATAATTGAGTGGTAGCAGACATAATGCCTTGGGTTTGATTCCCAAATATCTGCCCCCCTCCAAAAAAAAGGTACAAGGGTGGGAAATAATAATAATAGGTAATACTACTACTAATAATAATAAATGACATATAGTGCTTACTATGTGCTATGCATTGTTCTAAGTTCTTTATAAATGTTGAATCACTTAATTCTTATAATAAATCCTAAAAAAAAAATTGGCATTATTGTGCGTCACCAACTCTAGCTGGGATTATAGATGTTTGTCAACATCCTTTCTCAAAAAAAAAAAAAAAGAGCTGGGGATGTAGCTCAGTGGTATGGCACTTGCAGGCATGAGGCTCTGAGTTCAATCTCCAGTACTGCCAAAAAAAAAAAAAGATTGTTCATGTTATAGGTAGCTAGAACCATGTATTACTGATGGAATTTCAGAGTTCTATTAAATTTCCAGCATTATGGCATATTTTTAAGATCACATAAAATTGAAGCATTAATAAAGTAGAGAGTAAGAGTACCCAGAAACAATACAAAAGCTTTTCTAAAATTGAAAAAGAACAAAACTTTCTACTGTCAGTGAGCAGAATCATTAATTTTCAAATTTATGACAGTGCCAAAAATAGCTGGCAAGGAGTGTGAAAATGGCTTTGTGCCAAAATTAAAAACTGGGCTTAGAACATTGAAAGCATCAACTGGAAAGCAGAATGATTTTGCCATTCTCATAATGCCAAGAAGACATTTTAAAGCCCAAAAGGTAAGTCACAAGGGAATGACCAGACCACCCAAACTTACTTCTTTAAAAAGGTAGCACATGATATATGATAACTGGTAATCCTGTAAATCTTAAAGTCTCAAGGAAATTAGAGGAAATACTAATTCCACTCCTAAAACCCCATTAAAACACACACCCACACACACACACACACACAACTGAAAACTGGCTGGAATCAGTTTTTTCATTTGGTCTCATCCTGCTTCTGTGACAAGAAGCAGTTACGGATTTTCAGCAAAAAACTCACTCAAAACAGCAACTATTCTCTTACAAACAGCCAAGTGTTAAAAATAAAGCCGCTCAGTCCAAGGGCTTTTTTCATCATTAGGGCCTAGAAATGTTAGACTGAGCTAACTCTGGGAAGCAAGAAGACTGAAGTTATCTTCTCCTTTACTGAACAGTAAAGCATCATTAGGAGTTTTGCCTCTAAGAAGGTAAGAACTGAATGTTTTAAACTCTGATTTCAGATTATAATTCTTGGAAATATTTTCACTACATCTTTTCCCTTGGCCTCCATTCTTTCTCAATCTGTCAAAATAGAGTCTACAGAGGGAATGGGAATATCATCAGTGAGAGCTTACATTAATGAGGCCCTAGGTTTAATCCCCAACACACACACACACAGTCTATGGACACTAAAACCCTGGTTCTACATCATCTATATAAGAAAGCTGAATTAGATAATGACTTTTCTAGGTGCCTTTCCAATTCTAACATCCTAACTGGGCAATTAAAAAGATTATCTACTCAAGCATAGAAAAAAGAAAGCTAAAAACAAAAACAAAGCAAAAAAAACTTGACAGCATTCACTTCAGTAGGAAAATGGCATTAACTGTGCTTCGAACACAGCAGTCTCTTCTTTGAAGATACATCCCATTCTCAAAACCAAACACTAAACATGTTCTAATTACTATTGCCAAGTGGAAGAAATAGCATCCCTGCCTTTTGGATTCCTAAATTCAAACTTCTTTGTATTGAAAAGTTCCTTCAAGATCATAAAGTTTTATTTCACTGGCACCCAGATCAAGCTGAGATTGGGATAGCTTAAGAGTTCAAATCATTTTCTGGTCATTTTCATGAATAGTCTTGTTACTTTTTCCCATTTCAGATGCATCAAATCTACTTACTTGCCAGGTCAGAGATGTTACATTAAGTCATACATCTGTGGCTTAGTTGAAACTGTAGTTTAACTGTTAGAGGAAATTAGGTTGTTGTTGGCTATACTTACGCTATTCTTGTCTTCTCTAGATTTTATCCTTCTATAAGTAACAAACAGCTTGAAACAGAGGCTAGTTAGTTTGTTCAAAATGGAAAAGCATTACACTGGGCATGGTGAAATCTCAGCAACTCACGAGGCTGAGGCAGGAGGATCACAAGTTCCTGACCAGTCTCAGCACTGTCTCAAGATAAAATTTTAAAAAAGAGTTGAGGATGCAGCTCGGTGATAGAGTGCCCCTGGTTCAATCCCCAATACCACAAATAAATAAATAAGAATAAAAAGCATTGAGCCTGTAAGTATGGCAAAGCTTTTTCCCTAAAACCCAACCCCAAAAGATGGCAGCTTTTCTTGGACATTTACATTGTATATTTACAGTGGGCCAGAGAATAAAGTATATTACTTCTACTGCCAGAATCATTTAGCCATGCCCATGGCCAACAGAAATAGCTCTATGGCAAATTTCTGTCTAATGAAAATCTTTTGGCATGTATTAGTAAGACAAAACAATGTAAAATTAAAAAGGAGGGTAAGAAAGAAGGCTATGTTTGGAGCCAGAATGATTTGCCAGCCAAAAAGATTTCACAGAGATTTTCTGAAAGAAAAGGTGAAGACTTAACAGATTCTATAATGGCAACAAAGCAACAACAAAAGAAGCTTAAGAGGACACAGTGATAATGAAGAAATGCCTGAGCTGCTATTCCATCTGCCTTAGGCTCATTATCCAATGTTACTGTTAAACAACACAATGCACATGTTAAATCCTAAACACAGTTAAGTCATGGATGGTTAACTTCAACATTAATTTATTATTACCAGTAATTAACCTGGTAATAAACAGAATGAACTCCTGTTTTTTAAGAGCTAAACTTAGTTCAACCTAAAATTATTTTTATGTCAAAGACCAAAATGCATGAGAAATACAGGAAACATTGTTAAGCTCAAACGACAGCTTAAATTAAAAGGATAAGTAAAGGGTTACAAAGATCAGCAAGTAAAGGGTTACAAAGATCAGCAACTTAATACTGAAAATAATTCAAATGAATTGCACATTAAACTAAATGAACCTCTTATACCCTCAAATCTTGTATATAGCCTTTAAGTGAAAATTCCATCAAAAATGATTTCATGAAATAATAATTCTCTTTGCTAGCATGCACAAGGACCTGAGTTCCATCCCTGGCACTGAAAAAAAAACTGCTGTTACCTGTCTTTAACAAGGCACACAAGTAGTTAAAGAACACCTGCAGGCATGGAGTAAAGATTGTGAAAGCTGATAAGCCCTCATCCTTCAGCTGTGATCACCCTCTTATCTCCTTCAATACTCTGAAGGGGATGCTGAGCTGAACTTCACTTAGTGCCCCTATAGTGTTTTATATAGTTGTACCATATGTACGCAATACACAACAGTGATGGGATTGCTCAAAGGAGAGTATTAAAAGCAACTGTAGTTGGAATCTAAAACTTTTAAGGTATAAATAAGTGAAAGTGAAAATCTCAAAATGGGCCAAGGATGGGGCTGGAGTTGTGGTTTAGTGGTAGAGCGCTTGCCTAGCATGTGTGAGGCACTGGGTTCAATTCTCAGCACTGCATATAAATAAATGAATAAAATAAATGTCCAATAATGTTTAAAAAAATAGATTAAAAAAAATTAGCCAAGGTTGCCTTATGACAGCATGAAACCAGAAACCAAAGGCTCTCAGTTTCCTTACCTTGTCTCAAGTAAAAAATGGCATAGTTTTATAAAACTATAAAAATATTAAAATAAATAAGTATGGATAAAACATAATGTTAACATGTGAGAAACAGTTTGGTGGTTCCTCAGAAAGTTAAACCTAGAATTACCATATGACCCATTAATTTCACTCCAAGCTATGTACCTAAAAGAACTGAAAATAGGAACTTAATAGACTTGTACAGAAATGTTCACAGCAGCATTATTCACAATAATCAAAAGGTGGTAACAACCCAAGTGTCCATCATCAGATGAATGGATAAACACAATATGATATATACATACAATGGAGTATTATTTAGCCACAAAAAAGGAATAAAGTTAAGATTCATGCTACAGCATGGATTAACCTCAAAAACATTATTCTTACTGCTAAGTGGAATAAATGAGACACAAATGGACAAATATTGTATGATTCCATTTATATGTAGACTCTAGCCTTCTAGACAAATAGAAAATCAAATAGAGGTTACTGGGGGTAGGAAGAAGAAAGAATAGGGAGTTACTACTTAATGGTTACAGAGTTTGTTTTGGGTGACAAATAGTGTTGATGGTTTCATTTCTTTCTTTTTTTACAAAGCACTGTAACGTATTTAATAGATAGTGGTAATGATTACACAATACTGTGAATGTACTTCATACCCCAGTGAACAGTATCTGTTATAATCTGGATCTTACGTATCCAACAAAGGCTCGTGTGTTAAAGATTTTGTTCCCTGCTGATGGCACTACTGGGAGTTGGTAGGACCTTTAAGCGCAATCTAGTGGAAGTGAGGTCACTGAAAGCCTACCCTTGCAGGGATAATGGAACCTGGGTCCTCTGCTTTCTCCCTCGCCCCCTCTCTGCTTCCCAGTTAACATGAGGTGAACAATTAAGCTCTTATCACTATGATGTTCTGCCCTAGCACTGGCAAAGTGACCAGACCAAACAGCCTAAAACTGAACCCTCTACAACCATGAGACAAAATAAATCTTCTTTCTTTATAAGCTGTTTATCTTAGGTGTTCTGTCACATTACTGGAAAGTTATCTATCACAGTACGAAATAGCAAAAATAGTAAATATGTGAAATACAGATTTTACAATTTTAAAAAATTATGTAGATGGCATTTTTTTCTGAGTCTTTGTATGAGCAAAAATATTCTTCTGTTATTTTCACACAAACAAAATTCTTAGTTCAGTATATTTCCTCAGCTAAAGGCATTTGTCATGTTGGATATATTCCCTTATAAATATATTTTGTAGTTATCTATTTTTTGTTGATTGTTTGAACTGTTTCATTTGTTTCTTTCTTTTTCTTTTTTTGGTAGTGATGAGGTTCAAATCCAGTGCCTCGTCATTCTAGACAAGTGGTATATACCACTGAGTGACACTTCCAGCCCATTTCATTTCTTTATTGAATGCCTACATGATCTGTATTTGATGCATGACTACATATCAGACTCCTTAAAATTAATAAGTAAATAAAGGAGGTGCTAAGAAATAAAAGCACATTTAAAAAGAGCTTTGATTATGGTATAGACAAAATTTATGTACTGTCCCAATAATTACTATACATTAAAAAGGTAGCTACATTAGAGCTATCAAATCTAGAAATATGAATCACTAAAGTATAAGTTACTGCATATAAATAAATTAAATAAATGTCCAATAATGTTTTAAAAAATAGATTAAAAAAAATTAGCCAAGGCTATTCTAGGATAACCAAATAAGTTCCAAGTATTATAGATATTGTTACAAGACAAAGAGACCATAACAATCACCTAATCTAATTCTCACTGTTACAGAAGAAAAAAATAGAAAAGAATAAAATGCTGCTAGAGTTAAACCTGGAGTTATTCCCAAGGCATTTTATCTGCCAAGATATGAGTTTGGAAAAAATAGCAGCATATGCTGAAATTCATCACAAATAAGTAAGTATCCAAGACTTCTTAAAATAGGAAAATTAGATATAATGGTAGTAAAGACCAGATGTTAGTATAATTCAGCTAGTAACCTTCTGAATCAGACTGAGTTAATTTTTCTAGTGCTAAAAAAAATTTCAGAAAGATAACATTACATAGAAGAATGCCACATACATATGTAATGAACTAAAACATATCTTATTTCTACTATTCACTGTTAAAAGTTGTCTGTAATAAAATGTTAAATATAAGGACAGCTCTCTAGCCTAACATATAATTTTCAATATTTTCTACTTGCCTGTAGTAACGTGACTGTAGGTAGGTTGAACACACAGCTTTGGAAACGTGACTAGCAGAACCAAAGTCAATGACCTTCACTCGGTAGGGTTGGCGAACTGGATCGACAAGCATTATGTTTTCAGGCTTAAGGTCAGCGTGAATCAGACCAAGACTCTTGAGCTTCATCAGGGCTGTGGCCACCTGCTGCAAGATTGGTCTGATGTACTTGAGTGGCAGTGGGCTAAACTTGTTCTGCTTCAGAAAATCGTATAAGTTCTGCTCCAACATCTCAAACACAAGGCAGGTATGGTTCTTATGCTGAAAGCACTCATAAGAACGGACAAAATTATACTCATCTGCATTTTCACTGCTTAGGCGAGAAAGGATGCTCACTTCAATCTGTCCTTGTCTGGCATAGGAGGGGTGGTTCTTTAAGATTTTAATAGCCACAATTTCCTTGGTGCTCCGCTTCCAGCACTTAGCCACCTGTCCAAATGTCCCCCGGCCTAGGAACTCCAAGACTTCATAGCTGTTGGTCATAGAGCAAAGGATTTCATGCTGGACCAGCTGATAATCCCCTTCTCCGCTAGAACTGCTACTCTTTGTGGTCACAGTGGTGGTTGTGGCAGCAGCACCCACCACAGTTCTGTTTTGCAGCATGAGAGGGGGATGTTCTTCTATGATCTGCACGCTACCGTTGCTGTCAACTTCCTCACTTTTTCTTTTCAATCCACATTTTTGATATGGCTCAAGCAAAGAAACGTTGCTTCTGTGAGTCAGGGTCTGGCTGTTCTGGAAGGTTGATGTAGCTGCACTGCCAGAGCTATCAGCTGCTGTTACAACAATATGCTCCACTGCAGGAGCCGGAAGGAGGAGACCCTGGTCGTAAGCAGGAATATTGAAATTTGCTACCTGGTGAGAGGAGTTGGCTTGCCCTTGTGTAGCTGGGAGGGTTTTGCTGTGGGTATAATATTTGTCGTTGCTGCTCTGTCCTGAAACATCCCAGCCAGAGGGCTCTATTTTCAGTTTCTTCGCACTGCAGAAGGCACTCGACGACACTGATGGGGGGGAAAACACCTGCAGCTGTGATGCCATACCTACATGGGGAGAAAATGAGAATTAGACCACAAGTCTTAGCAACAGCTTATATGAAAACACTTTAGTTGATAAAAGAAACATGATGCAATAACGTTCCCCTTTTCAAAGCTAATTAACCTACATTCACAGAAATAGTGTCCAGAATGTACCAAAGTGAAAACTTGGTACATTCACTCTGTGCAGGTCATACATACAATGTTTGAAAGAAGAAAGAAAAAAATAATGTTCATCTCTGTCTACTACATTTGAAAAGGAACACTGAAAAACTGACCAGAAGAAGTAACCAGGTTGATGACATGGTTAGACAGTATCTTTTGATGATTAAGGAAAATTAATCTTAGGAAAATACAGGGAGAGGAAAAGAGAACAAACAGATCAGCTGTCCTGAGTATCCCACAGATACCTCAAACACAATAAGCCCAAGGACTAAGCCAAATTTTGTTGTTGTTGTTGATGTTTGTTTGTTTTTTCAGGAAAAAAAAAAAGGCTAATAATATTTGACATAGCATACAAGCCATTTCATATTTATCTGCTCCTTCCTCAAACATCAGAGACCCTGGAATTCTATTTTAATACAACTTTTTTTTTAATTTAGTTTTTAGTTTTAGGTGGACATGATATCTTTATTTTATTTTTATTTGGTGCTGAGGATCAAACCCAGTGCCTCATGCATGCTAGGAGAGCACTCTACCACTGAGCCACAATCCCAGCCCCTTAACACCCCTTCTTTTGCTCCACTTTCCCCTTTCCAATAAATACTAGCCAGAATTAGTCATCTACAAAAGACTCTACTATCTCTATTTCTAATCCAGACCTCTCCTGAACTCCAATCCATAATATCCAAATGCCCACTTGATACTGTAATTTAGTTATTTTACAAACACCTGAAATTCAACATGTCCAAAATTAAACTTATGAGCCTCCACCCCATCCCCAGTTTTCTATCTCAATTATGAGATGACACAGCATACCCCAACACCTCAAGCCAAAAATCAGGGAGGCCGTGAGCTTCAGTATCCCAATCCATAAAACAGTAATAACAATAGCTACCTCATTATTGCTCTGAGAATCAAATGACTAAATACATGTAAAGTGGTAGTGCCTAGCACGTGTTTAATTATTATCATCCTGTCTCATTCCTCTCCCTATCCTCCACATATAATCTATATCGTATCAATTCTCCCTCTTAAGTATATTTCAAATCAGCCATTTTTCTCTCCCTTATTGGCACCATTCTAGTTCAAACTGCCAATAGTCACCAAATTAATTGCCTTAAAGCCACTTGGGATCTTTGCTTTTAAACAATGCAAGTCAGTTAACTATTCTTTCTTCTTGACCATCCTTCTCCCCTCCCCCAAGTTTTCCATTTCCTTGGGCATAAAGTTTTAAATTTCAACCTGCCTTAACTAGCTCTCCAAAATTTGCTTGCTGTCTTCCAACATCTGTCCACTTTGATTCTTCTACTCTAGCCACACTTTCCACTCTAGCCCTTCTTTTCTTGCAAGAGTACTTCATAGTCTCTGAACTCCAGGCCTTCTAATGCATTGAAGACTTTCTTCTGGGAATACTGTTCCCTGACATCCCACCACCACAGTACTGGGGGGATTGAACCCAGGGACACCCTATCTCTGAGCTACAACCCCAGCCCTTTTTATTTTGAGACAGTGTCTCAGTAAATTGCCCAGGCTAGCCTTGATCTTGCAATCCTCCTGCTTCAGTCTCCTGAGTCACTGAGGTTATAGGCATGGGGCCACCACATCCATGGCTGTTCCCTGACACCTGTCACAAACATACAAACACTCCCCACAATCATCCCACCACCACCATGCATTCCCATGGCACCCTGTTCTTTCCTTATAACTTGAACATATTTATTTAAGGCCATATTTCCAGTCACAATATAAATTCCATGCAGACAGGTACTGTCTGTTTTGTTCTTCACTTGTATCACCAGAGCTCATCATAGACTATTAACATTTAATATCTGTTGGATGAAAGATCCAACTCCTGCCTATTAACTTCACATCCTCTACAACTCCCTACCACGCACATGCTAAACTGCAGTTATTTTCAATCGCTTAAGTTAGATTTGGTTTTTGTTGTTGTTGATGTCTTTAAATCATCTTCCCTCTTATCTGCATGCATCATTCTTAAAATATGGAAGAAGTCCCCACTCCCATACATATAAGTTTTACTAGTCATGAGAGAATATACACAGACAATTAGGGAAAAAAGAAAAAGAAAACATGACAAAGAATATTACAGAACATCAAAAAGCAATGTGTAATAGCTAAGCTGTGGAAACAGTTTAGATGGCCTCCAATAGATGATTGGATAAGAAACTGTGATATATATACACAATGGAATACTACTCAGCCTTAAATAAGAATGAAATTATGGCATTCACAGGTAAATGGATGGAATTAAGAGAATATCGTGCTAAGCAAAGTAAGCCAATCCCCCAAAAAACCAAAGGCCAAATGTTTTCTCTGATAAGTGGATGCTAATCCACAATCAGCAGGAGGCAAGGGAAGAAGGGAGGAACTTTGGATTGAGCAGAGGGGAGAAGGAGTGTCGGGGGAGGCAGTAAAATGATATGGACATTATTACTCCTACATACGGGTATGAATGCATGAATGGTGTAACTCTACATCATGTACAACCAGAGAAATAAAGAGTTGTGCTCCATTTGTGTAAAAAAATAAAGGACTGGGGATATAGCTCAGTTGGTAGAGTGCCTTGCATGCAGAAGGCCCTAGGTTCAAACCCCAGCACTACACAAAAAAATAAATAAAATAAAAATTATTAAAAAAAAATACAATGTGTAGCTGGGCATGGTGGCACATACCTATAATCCCAGCATCTGGGGAGGCTGAGGCAGGAAGATCATGAGTTCAAAGCCAGCTTCAGCAAAAGTGAGGTGCTAAGCAACTCAGTAAGACCCTGTCTCTAAATAAAATACAAAATAGGGCTGGATTTGGCTCAGTGGTAGAGTGCCCCTGAGTTCAATATTCAGTACAAAAAAAAAGTAACGTGTCCATTTCCTTGTGACTGACTACAATTAAGAACTATCTGTACCAGACTAGTCAGCTGGAAAAAAGAACATATCTTCAACCTTCAATTTCTAAAATGTGGGTTGGATTTACTTTAAGCGAGAGTTTCCATAATTTATACAAACACTGAAGAGGAAAAAAAGTATAAATTAAAAGCTAAGGTCAGTGCAATTTTACTACAGGGTTACAAATACACAAACCATTCTGTTCTACCTCCATCACTGACATAATACCAAATTTAAAAGAAGTGTGAAACCAAGTAGCTCCTTTACAAAATTTACATATGAAAATACATGCAAGACACATACATCTATAATTCCAGTAACTCAGAAGGCTGAGGCAGGAGGTCACAAGTTTAAAGGCAGCATCAGCAACTTAGTGGGACCCTGACTCAAAAATAAAAAAGGACTGGGGTAAAGCACCCATAGGTTGAATCCCCAGTACCACAAATAGATAGATAATATGCTAAAGCATTTCTTGTCATCAGAAAATGGAACCAGAACAAATTCACTTTCCTTATCTGTTGAGCTGCTAATTTTAACAATGCATCAAAAAAACATGAAAATAACCTTCATGTCATTAAAAGTATTTAGTGAAATACTTTTTAAAAAAATATTTATTTTTTAGTTGTAGTTGGACACAAAACCTTTTTTATTTATTTATTTTTATGTGGTGCTGAGGATTGAACTAAGAGCCTCACACGTGCTAGGAAAGCACTCTACCGCTGAGCTACAACCTCAGCCCTTAGTGAAATAATTTTAATGAATACAAAATTTGCCCTCTGCAGCAACTGTCTAGGAATAGGGGTCATAATTATATAGCAATATTTTATTTTCAGTAGTATAATAACACTGAAAAGACCTCATGAAATATAACATTTTTAAAAAATGCTCATAATTTGATAGTCTTTGAAAATATCACATTACCAGAGTAATGTTGCTGCTAACTTTTTATCCAATAAAATAAGAGAGACTGATGACTTGGAATCTTCATACTGAACACTGCAGAAAGACAAATTCTAGGACATTTTTCTATACAAATGAGTAGAATTCTTATTCTGAAAGACAAGTGTAATCTACCCAAAGGAAAAAGAACAACCCAGAATTTCACTGGCCTTCCCTCAGCAAGGGTATGCTATATGAAAATCAGTACACATCTCACCATCAAGGACTCTCTTAAAATGTGGCTGACACTCATTCCGACCTCAGCTAGCACAAGGTGAGAAGAAAACACAGAATCAAAGTGGCCTAGAAAAATCAACAGAGTCTTATTTATATTCCACTCTGAAATTAAGGTTAAAACAGCAATTTCTAGACTCAGGATAAAGTATATGTTCCACAATACATCTTCCCAATAGAAAGGCAATTTTCTTCCTAGGCAAAGACCTCCCAAACAAAAATGTGGGATAGAATTAAAATCTGTGGAAATTTTACTATGTACACAACTCTGTTAAGCAAATTACAAATATTTTCAACTCATAAAAGAATCCCCAATAAATATGTCATTTCTGATTTCCTGAAAATGTTGTACCTCTCTTTTCATTTAAAACTTCACACTCCAAGGACTTAACCAACTCAATATGACAAATTTGTCCAATGCATTAATCCCAAACTAGGACTGACAGGCAAAATGCTATTGGTACTTGTACTTACTACTAAAAATAAAACCGAGTCACGCTAGAATGCACAGCTTCCCAAAAGAGTCAAATTCACAGCTTCCCCATTCCTGGCATGGTCACATCTATTAAACATCATTTATTGGGATGTACTATAAGTACTATAGGCAAACTGATAAGAATTCAAAATAACCCTGAATGAAAAAGTTGGGCATAACAACCAAGTTAATAATTTTTCAATGTTTTGTCCTTAATCCTCAATAGCTTCCATCTTTTCCCCAACACACCTACAACAAATTCCTGCTGCTTTTGCTCAGTATCATCTTGGTCT